CTGCCCGTTTTCTAAAAAGGGTCTGGTTACATGATTACATGATTACAAAGAGGCACAACCGCAGTAGAAACGACGTCCAGTTGGACAGTCATTCTTCAATTGGTGCACACGGGTTTATATGAGTCTTTATCAACAAATGAAATAAGGGAAAAGTTAAGGGATAATCTTTTGATCCCCCATAGGCCAATTAGTTCTCTGCAATTACCCCATCTTCAGTGAGACTACAAAGAAAGGCTGTCAGGAGTGGTGGTAGCCAACCTACAGAGACTCGAAAACATGTGAGAAATGCTCTGTTCGACCAGAATTTGAATCCAGGACTTCCTGAGCAGCTATAGTGCTTCCCCTTTTTCCACCATGCCCCCAAAAACAATATTCTACATACTGTTATGCTTTGTAAACATGTTTAGTGTGTGTTGTATGAAGTCCTCCAGTGTACATATTGTCCACGCTCTTTGCATGCAATGTAATTCAAATGTATCTTTACTATTTTTATTATTTTGACTTTAGTTTAGCTTTGCTTCATGGTCCTTTCATCCAAGTTTGTTTAAAGGTGCATTATGTAAAAGAAAAAGTTGATATTTTTTGCATATTTGAAGTTGAAGTGACCCAGTGGCTCTAAGAATGGGCAGCATGGTTCCTTAACTTTTGACATGGTTTTCATCAGGATCGATTGGTAGGTTTTCTGGTGATAGTCATAGTTTTACTTGTGTCATTTCTTTGTCTCTTTGGTTATAGTTTTTGTCATTAGGATTACTTTGAGTTCACAAAATAAATGAATCAACTGTGGAGTTTTGATGATCTGCAAGTGGACAGTGTAATAATCATCTCTTCAGGAGCAGCTCTGAGGCAGATTGACAGTGTCACTGCTTCATATTATTGAATGACACTCTGGTTGAATACTTCTTGCCTGTTGCGGTACACTGAAGACAGGTCAGGATACTTAGAAACTTGCTTCCGTCACCAAGCTGAATAATTGAGCAGAGGCCTTAATGCTTTGTATGTGTGTGTGCGACTGAAACGTTTGAGCCGAGTGTGAGACTGAATGGTTTCCTCTCGCGGCCCCAGAAGCAGACTTTATAAGAGTGAAACTACAATAACTACAGTAGTATACATGTTGGGATAGTCATTGAACATCTACGATTAAGAGTAATGCCCGTATCTCTTTTTTGCCTCAAGATTTGTGACACTCTTCATGACGACAGCTGTTGTGATTGCAGCGGGAAGAGAAGTCGAAGTTGGATTCAAACAAAAAAAGACCCCTAACTGTTCTCTAAGAAGTTCTATACAGTAAACTGAACAACCTGCTAAATAGCATATTCTTAATGTAAAACTCATTTATAAAGGATAACTTTTTGTCTCTCTGTAAGGATGTGATTTAGGGCAGTAAAAATGTAATCAATTAATCACAACTAATCAATTATTGTCAATTAAGTTATGTTTTGAACCCTATAGACTTAAGCATGTAAACGGGTAAATGTGTTTAGAAAAATGGGATAAATGTCTCATATTCACTGACCTTTTGGGATCTAAAACAAAAATGGATTAATTGACAGAATGATTATCCGACTTATTTATTATCAAAATAATCATTAATTGCATCCCGAGTGTGATTGAACCTCTCATTTAATTTAGCCAATTCTTTCTGTGTGGTTTTATTCAATAACATAGAAGTATTCCACAGTGAAAATTACTTCAGTTAAAACATGTAACTCTTAGTAAAGCCATATTTTATATTTTTTATAGTTTGGTTCATCAAGAGATTGAGCTATAGGTTATGCAATGGCCTTCATTGTATCTAAACCAAAAATCTTTCAGGATTGGTACACTTTCATAAGTAAGTAAGAATGAGCGAAGTCCCTCAAACTAGAATTGGATGGCTGTTTGTTTGCTCAGTAAAATATTGTATATTCTTTCAAAATAAACATTGAGACATTGTTAGAATCATTTATCTGTACCTTTAGGCCTTGGATATTTTGGAGACTTCTTCTTCCCCTTGCTTCATTGTTCATGCAGGGTATCCAAACATTAAGAGTGCTTTATCTCTTCAATATTAATTAGTCTAATGATTCCAAATAGCCTGGTATTGACCCTGTTTAACAGCACTATTGTTGTGTGCAGAGTAAATTACATGAACTGGCTTGTCACTGTACAACAATTACCGCTGAATTACTGTGGCAGCGGCTCTGTGTGGGCATATCATTTACACATTGTAATGGTAACTACTTATGCTGATGTACTGTATACTTGACTCACTGTTTTTCATGCCGATCTTGAGATTTCAAATAGTGTGTCAGTGTGAGTTTCCCAACACAAATGATATGATACACAGGTGTTACCTCATTCACTTTGGCCTGACTGTTTGTTTAATGGCTGATGTCTTAGGTCTGGTGATATCAGGGGCTGGAGTTACACTGCGCAAGTCAAAGGCGCACACCTCTTCAGCTCATGAATAATGGCTGCTCAGGTGATGTCAAGGCTGTCCCGCTCAAGTTTCTATCTCCCTCATCAACCTAGGATCACAATCACTTTGAACGGAGACATTTCCTCACAAAAGAGTCCAGTTTCGTATTCTGTTCGGACTATATATTAGCCCACGGAATGTTGACAGCATTTGGCTGATCCACTGTTTACTACTACATGATTATTAATGAGAAATAATGTTGGTAATCCTAATATGAAATTGTCGCATTTATAAAGCACTTTTCTCACTTTCAAGTCACTCAAAGCACTTGACCGTGGCACCTTTTATCCAGTCACACAGAGTGGGTCCTCTAAAAACACAGAGGCGTTGGAGCCCTCTGCTCCGCGGCTTGGAGAGGAGAGCATGCCCGAAAGACAGACAAAAATGCAATATGCTTCTGTGCAGACCTGCTGATCTGACAGTTGAACCAATGATTGTTTGTGTTGGGGGCAGGATTCGAACCACCAACCTTCAGCTCAGAGGACACACGGCACGTTTTTGTGGTAAATGTTACTGTATGTGATTGTGTGACGTGTCTCTTTTCAGTACTTCTGTGTGTAACTGTGTGTGGTACATGTTTAGCTTTTATAAATGTTTTGTCTAAATAGAAGTAAAATGTATGCGTAATTTAAAAAGAAGGCCTCACACATTTTAAAATTAACAGAATCTACTTTTATTTTTAATTTCAAAAGATGTATTTATATGACAAGGATGAATCTTACCATCGCTTTGCATTTTTTACTTTAGCCCATATCTTGCTGTTAGTGTCACACAGATGAGTGAATAATTCATATTGTGCTTTTTTTTTCTTTCTTCATTGGAGTCAAATCGTGTGAGATGAGTACAGTGCACGTGCTCCACTCCCTGATGTGAAGGGTCTCCCACACTAGGAGCCTGTACATCCTAGTGCCACACGTGAGCGCACACAGCTCCACAGAGACTCGCTGTAGAACTGTCTATAGGGATTCATGCTTTGTGTGTGATTTGAGTGGTCACTATGCATTGTCACGAAAAAAAACAATCCGACCATATTTACAGATTAATTTTGGTTTTTCATAATGAAACAATACATCCACAAAACGCATGCATATGAAGGTGCACTTCTGTAGATAAGGCTTGTGTGGATCTTGCCTCTTCACTCCCACTCAGCTTTCTCCTGATCAGCCTGAGCTCTCCGCCTGTGTATGTGGGTGATGAGCAGTTTTCCTTTGAAGTACAGAAGCCTAACGCGCGTGTGGCTCTCATGAAGCAGGAGTGATCTGAGACCGCCACCGGACCGCAACAGCACTCTTTTTAGTCTATATGAGGGCGGAGCACAGTCACAGCGCATCAAATCGCATATGAATGTTTTAGCTCTTTTCGCTTATGTGAATCTTATGTACAGATTTTTATATATATATATAATGTATTTGTTTGTGAATAAATGTATGTTAAAGAGAACATTTGAAATACATCCCAGCGGCAGACTCCACAATCTTTGCACATCCAGAGTTTTGCCCATTCGTCTTAACAAAACAACTGAAGCGCTGTTAGATTTGATGCTTGAGCTTGGAACAGAGGTTTTCAGGTCTTTCCACTGATTTTAAATTTAGTTCTGGCCATTCTAACACATGATAGCTCTGTGTTCAGGGTCATTGTTCTGCTGGAAGTTAAATCTCTGCTCTTGTTTACTTACTCCAGCAACCTTTCTTCAAAAATTGCTATGCATTTGGCATTCTTACTCACTTCTCTTGGCAAGAAGGTCCTGGGTTCAAATCCCGGTCGAAACAGGGTGAGTGGAGTTTGCATGTTCTTCCTGTGTCTGCATAGGTCTGCCCTGCGCTTCCTGTATGGCAGCCTCGCTCCCATCTCATTGTCCACAACTATTGGAGTGAGATTGCCCACAACAATTGTAAAGCGCTTTGTGACTCTGGTCTGTGAAAGGCGCTATATAAATAAAGTTTATGCATCCTTCTCATCAATGTTTACAATCTTCTCTGTCCCTTCTGAGGAAAGGCCCATAGCATGATGCTGCCCACACTGTTATTAGACTCTGGGGATGGTGCACTGAGGGTGATGAGCAGTGCTAGTTTTGTAATCAATGTTGGCACATTTTACCACAGCACCTTTTTCTTGTTAGCTATGTCCCCTTTATGACGTATGGCTTTCTTTTTGTTACTCGTTCATAAAGGCTAGATTTGTGTAGAGTACAATGAATATTTGACACCAGATCTCCTCAGGTCAGCTGCAGAAATGTTTTTGTTAGTTTGAGTGCTGTGAGATTTTCAAAGCTTTGGGAAAACATTTGTATAAGGTAACATACTTTAAACTTCTCGACAACTTTGACAACTCTTTTGCTCCCTGGACTTCATGATGCTGTTTAATGACCAATAATATATCTAAGGCTATCACAAAACAGTTGTGATTACACTGAGAGAAAAGTGGGCTCTATTTAATAGTTCGGGCGAGATGTCAGCATTCCACAGTCATTATCAAAGGCTAAGGTTACACAATATTTTATATATAATTATAAATAACATTTATTTTAATTGTTTCGCAGATCAGCCGCTGCCTTAAGCCTGGAGGGCTCTTCATCTCCATCACTTTTTCCAACCCATTTTTCCGGAAACGCCTTTATGCTCGCACGCAGTACGACTGGTCCATCAAAAACTACAGTTACGGGGATGGCTTTGAGTACTACATGTATGTTCTGACCAAAGGGGAGATACTCAGCGCTGAAGATGCGGCTTTGGAGAGAAAACTTATGGAAGACGAACCTTCAGATCCTCCCACATTCAAGGAAGAGGAGCAAGAGGACAACTTCTTATCCACAATAGACCTTTGATCGTTTTTTGGCAATGATGGGCGAGAAAGACCAATGGGGACTTTCAAACTTAGAACCACACATTTGGTTGTAGTACGAACAAATCAAAATCCATCGTCCTGCCGAGGTCTGTGTACTTTTTGGTAGGCCTATTTCAGGGACTTTATGGATTTTGGGTCGGGGGGGGGGGGGGTGGCAATCAAAGCTTCCACCCAAGTCTCAACGCACCAGTTCCTTGCTGATCCTCCTGTAGGTGGTGGGTCCACGGGAAGATGGCTTCTCTGTGATCGAAGACATGACCTTGTTCTTTCAGCGGGGGCTTCAGGAAATGTGGGGTTAAGTGTCTTGCCCAGCCACACAACGACAGCAGTGGGAGCAGATGATGACATGGGTCGTGGTGAGCTCGAACCCACGACCATTAGGTCCAAAGACCAGTGCTCTACCAACTGAGCTACTGGAACTACTTTATGGAATTTTAATGTTTTTATGGATTCATCATGAAAATAAGAAAATGCTGTTTTTGTTTTGTATTGATTGCAAAACCCTCACAATTTGATCCATGGTACAGATAAATTATCCTTTTCTGCTAGCTCTGAATCTTTGCGTGTGGGTGTGTGTGTGTGTGTAATTTCTACCTCTGCCAACGGGTAACGTAATCTGCAAGTGTCTTTTGGTTGGTAAGCTAATTATTTGAGTTCAGCTTTCAAATGGGAATTTGAGACATAACTAAAGGGCATCAATCAATTAATCAAAATAGCTATTTGAAAACCAGTCCAACACAATTTCACAAAAAGAAACCTAGAATCTCTTTCTTCCACATACTTCCTTAGTACATTAAAAAAGAAAAATGCAATCAAGTTTGAAATTTTCTTCTGAAGAGTAGCTCCACACTCTCGTTCTAAATCTGTGCACATACGGTTTTTTATTTCCTCTCTATATTTTTTAGCATCTCTATCATGGAATAGGTTTCGTCGTTTAGGTGCAGAGAGTTTCCAAATGCCCTGGACACTATTTGAGCTGAAATCCTGCCATTTCAGTTCTTTTAATTCTATGAACACTGAACAGTAGATTAGAATGAGGTCTATAGTGGACATTAGATATTATGCTAACAGCCCTTTTTGCAGCTGATCAAATGCTGTAAGGATTTGTAAGTTTATCCACACTGACATTAAACTGTCTATCAGCCGATGCCTTCAATCAGCAGCTTTACTCTATTTACCAAATAAATCCTGCGAAGGTGGAAATTAAATTTTCCTTTGTGCAAAGCTTGTTACCTCTAATTATTTGCCCAAGTCACAGCAGAGAACAAAACTACAGAGTTTCAGCCACAACTTTTTAAGGCTTTGCCAAAACCTGAATGGGATTGTATTACATAGTTAGCATTTCTTTCTACGTTGTCTCTGAATCTTAACAAACATTAGTTAAACCTAATAACACAACTATAACTGTGTCTGTACTTACATGTTGCTCATAAAGTTTGTTGTAAAAAGAATGTGTTGCAGTTATTAGACATGTGCATGGGAGAATGCGTAATGACAAATTCCTGCATGCTGTATCAGTTTGCTTTTTTGTCTGCTACTTTGTGTTTTTCTCTTACAAAATGATACAATAAAATGCATTTGTTTGTGGTTGTAACAAGATAAAACGTGTAAAAAGTTCATAGGTATGAATGAATACTTTTTCAAGGCACTGTAAAGTCATCATACAAGACCCAGGTCCAACACAGATGTTTGAAAATATCTGAAAACATCTGTATTAGAGCACAGAGAATTCACTGGTCACTAATCTAGTTGTATATTGTGTAATCATAAGTCATGGTGTTCTCCTTACCCCAAACAAACTAAAGGGAGTGGTCTGCCAAGCACCTCGGAGGAGCAGTACTTGTTGGGGTAACATGAGCAGATTTCTCACGACAGTTTATATATAGACTGGAGAAGAAAGGGGTCAGTGTGCAGACAGGCAAGCAGACTAGTGACTGGAGGCGAACCACATTAATAAAGAAGAAATCATTTATTTTTAATTCTTCATTGAGATTTAATTACTTCCTATTTTAAGACGGCAAAAGGTGTGATTTTTCAGAATATTTTAATTATTTTCCGTGGTCACAAGGAATGTCATCCTTGAGTCATTCTAGGCAACAGTTTGTTAAGATGAAACTAACACTTTTGGTATTTTGTGTTATAAGAAAAGTCATAATAAACACCTGCCTACATCATATTATTATATCTATAATTTTTTTTTTTTTTTTACAAATACATTTTTCCTGATTAGAAGTCATGTTTTCAGGTAGGGGTATGTGGATACAGCCAACCTATGTTTTTCTATGTATGGTTTTCAAATGTATAGTAGTATTAGACTAGTGGATGTAATGTAGCACGGTGGAGTGAGGTAGAGCGCTTTCAGCAGAGCTCTAGATTAGCTTGTGTCCCTCGGGGCAGTATAATGGCATAATATACTGTATGACAGACTTATGTAACTGACAGGAATATTAATGGATGTCCAGCCGTGTCCTGGATGAAGCAATGGATCAAAGCTCAGTGTCCACACTCACGCACTTTGAGAGATCAGAGCTCCTCAGAACCAACACAATGTTTGTCTTTGCATTAAGTCAGTCCATCCTCCAGGTTGGAAATACCTGTGGACCAAAAAATGAGCTAATGTCTAAAAAAAATGAAATGTACAGAGCAAAAATTATATTTTATGATTGTTGCCATAGCAATGAACAAAGTAGCATAAACCTCTTCAGAGATTCCTATTTCATTTTTTCACAACCCAATAATATAAAAAGGGAGAATATGTTTCCTCATAGTTTGACCTCTGGACTTCTGGGTGACCAGTCACTGTGGATGTTCACTCGTACAGTGCAGATGGAGTGGTCGATAGCACTATGTGTTGATTTTGTTAGTGCAAAGTCAATACTGAAGTGAAATCTGTTGATGGCTCAGGATGTTATGTTTCTGCCACACTTCTGTCTGATAATTATATTCATATTATAGATTTCATAATATTGTTATGAATACTAATACTAAATTGAAAATTTAGTATTAGTATTAGAGGCTTCATGGGACCCTCAACCTGTCCACATGTGTTGTGGATTTGGAGAAGGCAATTGACCGTGTTCCCTGGGTGTCCTTTTGTGGGGTTCTCTGAGAGTTTGTTCACTGAAGTCAACCCTAACCCTAATGACTTTGGACAGAGTCCGGGCTGGAGTACAGGATCCCGGGAACCCCCCAAGGGTTAGGGTTGAGGGTAGAGTTAGAGTTAGAGTTAGGATTAGAGGGTTGGGTTAGAGAACAACCGGAGTATGACTGGAGCCAGAGCTGCGTTCGGATCGCCTGCAGTAAGTCAGACCTGTTCCCGTTGCATGTTGGCCTCTGCCAAGGCTGCCCTTCTGTTCAAGATTTCATCTCTACTCTTTGTGGACGATGTTGTCCTGTTGGCACCAAACGAACCAGGACCTGCAACATGCACTGGGACGGTTTGCAGTGTGAAGGGGCTGGGATGAGAATCAGTACCTTGAGTACTCGACCGGTAAAAGCTGTCTTTCGGCTTGGCTCCCTCTTCACCACAACGGTCAACGGTGTAACTTTATTTGGAAAATAAAATTAATTTGTGAACATAAAACTCTTACTGTTTTCTAGTTTGTTGTAAACTTTTCACTTTCTTTTCAGTAAAAAAACAAAAAAACAATCAGAATGTAAAACACTTGATTCAAGCAAATATTACCTCATATTTTATCATTTCTTTCCGGGGTGGGTCCCTGAACTTCACCAGGCTTGAGGACAGGCCCTTCCACTCGCACTTCTATTGCTTTAGGAACAAAGATTCTTCAATAGTACCACCAAATTCTATTACTCATGATGATTACATATTTAATCATGTGAATCATAGACTTTTCCAAACCCTGAGCCCAAACTAAACCTGGAATACAAGAGATGACACCTTAACTCCAAATCTGGCCAATGCAGTAATATACTAATAAAAATGAACCAGTACAATGTGGTTTATTACCACAAAAATCACTCTAAACCAGTGTAGCTTCAAGAATTAGCTCAAGAATTTTGATCTGTTAAACGGTTGTGCAGCAGACTCGTATATTTTACTTATTTTCATAGCGACACGACAAAGTTATTCAATGGAGAAAACACACGGAAGGATCAGCACGAGCGTTGACAGTTAAAATACATTGTCATTTCAGTTTGGCATTGTTAAATAAAGTTTATTTAATTGTCGTAAATAAAAAAATAAAAAACAACAATTAAGATAAGAAACAATAACAAATACAATTTTTATGTATGTATTTATATTAATGAGGAATACATAAGGATAAAATGTGTTTGTGTTTTCCTCTGTGCGTCTGCTTCATAATTTTCACTGCTTTCATCTTCACCTGGATCTATGGGGGGTGCGCATTCAAGGTCACATGTGATTGGTCAAAGTAAAAACAAGAATATTAGTGAAAGAAACAGATGATTTACACATAGTTATAACTCTAAAATATCTAAATGATTGCAATATGTAGAGATAGCACTTGCTTTTGTCCCAATGACTACATCCTTTGCTACATTGTGCAGCCCTACTAATAACTCAAAATGGCGCAATAAGGTCCTACACTTTAAGAAAGAGACATCAGTTCAAAGCATTTAAGGAGTAAAATGCTCTTAAAACAATAATAACCAAGTGTTTAAATGCCAAAAGATAACAACTTCAATGTGGCCAAAAGCTTATGTTTACATTAATGATACATACAGTATATTGAAGAAGGAGATAAGCAGGTGACACAGGCTTCTCTTACATCAATAAAAATAGAACAATGCAATATAATGAGACGAATATTAAGATTATGATTAGGAGATCCTTCATTCTTCCCTCAGTGGGGAAATCTCAGTGTTTTTACAGAACAGCAGGAATGAAAAGCACAAAAGTTTAGCATAAAAAAGAAGCGCATCTAAAATCCAACTTTAGCAGAATGAAGAAGCAAGAATTAAGTACAACATCTCTGACTTTAGCATAATGAAGAGTAAGTACAGCTAGACAATTTGTGGTTAATTGAGCCTCAATCATGTATTATTGATGATGACAGTTGTTTGGATTTATAGATTTGTGATACAAAAGACACAAGACTGAATGGAGGAAGGATTCAAGTTCAACAAGACAAGTTAACAAGTACAACCAATCTCCTGTCAATTGGTCATTTGGTGATATCATATCATATCCAGTGGGGGCGGGTCCCAGGTCAAAAGGTGAGCTGACATGCTTGAAATCTGACTCCTTGCCGGTAAGGGCGTACCGGGACACAGAATTATCCAATTAATTGTTATGACCTCATGAAATAGTACTTCTTGACCGCACAAACATTCTTGGGGTAAACCTCAGTTACCCCATCTTATTCATCTTTCTCCTTCATAGTAGATAAACTACATCCTTGTTGTAATGATCTCTCTTCATTCCCTATGGGCCTTCTTTAATCCACTTAAACTGATCCAGCAGCAGGTGAGCACATTTCATTGTAAACCGTTTAAAAGTCAAGTCGTAAAATTGACTTGACGATTGCATTGAAGAGCACCGGTCCTGTGTGCAAGGGTCTGGAGGAGCAGGGGCGACAGGTCCTTGTGGAGCTCACCAGGACGTCCCATAGCTGACAGAAATCCACATCCAACCTCTCCTCTCCTCCTCCTCCTCTTAGGATTTTAATTAGGAAAGTGAAGCAGACTATGAGTTGGATCCATTTAAAAGAGATTTTTAAATTTACCTCAAAATAGGTATTGAACTACATTTAGAACATCTCCAAACAAGGACTAGGGAGAGTGCTCTGTCAAAAGGCAATCTAAATGTGTCAGCTTTACAATGACTGTCTGCAGTTCAGCTGAAACAATAGTTTTATTCTTCTACTTCTATTAAATGTCCCCGAAGCAAAACATCTGCTGTGCGTCACATATTATATTTGCTTATCCAGGCGCTAACAAAACCAGCTCGTGACTGTGTGTGTCCAAATTCTCTCCATTTCTTTGTTGTTAATTAGGCCCAAGACCCGACTGGGGTAAGGGCCTATTGCTTTCACAATGGTGAATGCAAGGGGTCGCGGTGCGTGACGGACGCGTCAGTCCCCGTCACTCACCAAAACGTGACGGTTGCTTGCGTAAACTCAAATGCTTTAAAAGGATGTATCAGGTGCCATTGAAACCTATATTGTTTTTTCTCGGAGACGTTCGAAAAATTATTAAAAATGTTTACTTTTTTGGTGTTCATTTTTATGGGACTAAATAAAGGCCAGAACAGCGCCCCCTACGGGAGGAGGTCCGAGGTCAAATTTGTCGTAGAGCCACAAAATTCGGTACCCTTGTTCCTAAAGTCAAGACATGACATTTTTTATCATGGCCACGCCCCCTGACAAACAGGAAGCCCATAAATGTTATTGCAAAATGGAAAAATGGAACATTATCTTTTTCACACATGTCGGTTGGAAATCATCTCCTCCTCTTTTGGGGGCTGATGCGCCAGTGTGTTCGGCAACTTGCTTCCGTCATCACCGTGTGTGGAATGATTAGAACAATATCTGAACTCTGAACATTGGTCTGTAAAATGCGCTACATAAATAAACATTACTTACCACTTACTACTACTCGGCCGTTTCACCGATTTGCCTCAAAATTGCTCCACATCGTCTAAACACATGTACCATCATAATGACTTAGTGAAATTTTGATCAATTAAACGTTGTTCGAGCAGCGGAGCGGCAAGATGTACGTTTTTTCCCTCATTTTTGATAGTAGCAAATTTGCTACATTTTAATCCATTGTTCAACTCTAGGGATTTTATATTTTTATCTTTCTTTTTAATGTTCTGTGATTATTTATGATTTTAATGCTTTCTTATTTTGTTCAGCACTTTGAATTGCCTTGTGTATGAATTGTGCTATATAAATAAACTTGCCTTGCCTAGGTCTTTTGAAAGTAAAATAATTTAAATTGGCTTGTTAGCGCCTCCTACAGACTAGTTTTACATAGGGATTTAGTTGTTTCAAAATGTTTGAAATTTTTCACATAAATCTGTTTTGCCCTCTTGATTCAAAAAGTCAATGACACCCAAGATTTATTTTTTACCGTGTTGCCGTGGCCACAACAAACGCTCTCGATTCTGTGTCAATGGGAAATGTACACCTCGCTAAAACATCATACCAGCCTCAGCCGTTTCACCGATTTGGCTGAAAATTGCTCCCCATCATCTCAACACATGTACAATCAATAGAATTTGGATTAGTCACATGGTCATCCAATGGAGACTGTATATACAGTATATGGACACAAGCACAGATTATACATGTGCTCCTGTTTACACAAAGTCTGATTTGTACTAAACTTGACTCGGTTGTTTTACTCTTGGGCCTAGGTCACCTGAAGGTGTGAAATATTACATAAGCTCTTTAGCGCCCCTAAGGACTTTTTCACATGGGGAGCCAAACCAGCTGTTCATATTCATTACAATTTTACACACTTTTTTCTATGGCTATGAGCGCAAAGGCACAACCTCCTTTGCGCGGTGTGGCGAGGGCCGTTTTTTTCTTCTGCTCCGGCGTTACAACACTCTTTTTTGTCATAGTTTAAAAGCCACACCTGAATTACTGTTTACCATTTATTTATTCACCAAATACAGTGAAAATGGCATCATAATATACAATGACTCATTCTTAGAATGTCATGACATTTTGTTGCTTTTTTGCTTCATAAAACAATGTTTCTTTATTGAAAATATTAAGGTTTCATGCACAACAAACCATATCCATTTTATTCCTAAATAATGGTACAAAATAAAAAACAAATAAAAAAACAAAACTATGTTAAAAATTGTTCAAATAACGTTGTGTCATTTGAGAATACTGTAAACAGTGCAATATACTCTAAATCTGCCATTTTCTAACAGGTTCATCAACAGAGCTCAAGTCACAGTATACGAGTTATTAATAATAGTGTAACATTGATGTGTGCAAAAACCTCACATTCAATTAGTCTTCTTTAAAAAAAGTCCACCATAAATGGACCCAAATCCAGATTCACTTGTGTCAGGCCTCGTCTCATTCTGTATATTCTCTCTCAATAAGGAATATTTGTGTTGATGAATTTTAAGACGATAGACTAGCATACTATTTAAATAACAAATATTTAGATATAAAAATACAAATATGACCTTTGTTCAAAAGAAACGTGCCAGGGTATGAGTGGTGGCAACTTTATTGGCACCAGAGTGACACTTCATGCAGAGATGGAAAAACTATTCATAGAAGATCAAACACAAATGTGCCAAAATGAAAGACCAATTCATTTACTGTTTTTCCCATCTTAAAATAGACACAGAGTTGTCTACAGATCTCTGCTGGCCTGTGTAGATATATTGGAAACTGTCAGCAATGCCATTAGGTAGATATGTGCAGGCGCATGAGCTACATGAAGGTGCCTCCTGCACCTTTGAGACAAGTCAGGGTCATAATGCAGTTATTAGGGGCCAAAACAACAACAGGAAATATTAACATTTCACCATTATCAAATATGTATTTTTTACAAAGACGGTGAGTCTCTTTTGTAAAGCAGAGTATAGAGTGTTGTTGTTTTAGAAAGCGTCAGCAGCAATAGGAATGCACGGGACCAGTGCTGAAAGGACAGCTCCCTTAGCTGAACGACTCCATGAAGCAAAAGGGAAGGGGCTAAAGCCTAGCTTCTATACAACATTGTGAAACCAAGTTGGATGTTGCTTCAACCTTAAATGACAAGCTTGTGTCTGTTATCAGCGCTTTTTGGAAAAAGAATTCGAGGAAACATTGTCATGAAAGTTCATCCATCATTGTCCGCAGAAATAAGATACAGAGCATTTCTGCATCTCCACATCTTCAAATCGGGGTTGTTTTGGAGATTTGCCAGCAATCCCAAAGATAAGTCTTCTCCTGAGTCACATGTTCTTCTTCTTGTCTCTCTGTCACACCTTCATCTTGCCATTCCATTAACTCTTCATCCTCATCCTCATTTGTGCAGTAATATGCTTCCACCAAATCCTTCTCGAACATGCACAGCCGACAAGTGCTTTCAACTGTGGTCAAAATTAAAGAGTCCGCAAGGCATCAGTTAGGCTTAAACCCCAGGTGAAGACTTGTCTGTCATCCCCTTCAGGACCTCATCTATTCGGTCATCCTCTATCACCACTGTCGAAAGAGAAGAAGAGACATTTAGACTATTTCAGACACAAATAGTACTTATGTGCATCTGTCAGAGAAAAGTCTACATGAGGACTAATGCTATGGGGGAAGGGAGGCAGATGCTGCTGAATAAATAAACACACGCCACTCCAAATCCGTGTCCTCAAAGATCACGCACGAGTCTTTTGCTGAAAACAAAGTGATGGTGTAAGTTGACGTAAGTCTTAGAAAGCCCATTGGGTGGGTTAGTACCGAACGGGGTGTGTCCTGCATGTGAGGGATCACCGTTTCCCAGATGTAAACATGTACTTGACCTGCAAACCTGGACTGCCCTTCGTGTTGTGGATAGATAATGAGCTATTGCCAGTAAGCGAAGCTTTAACTTGATGTGTTTGTTTTCAGTCCATTTCAAGCGCAAGAAATGTGTGCGCACAATGCGACGCAAAATACGGCTGGAATATATTCTCAACAATTATTAATGACAGTATAATTAAGGACTTTTGTAGTTTTGTCCTAGATCAGATTGTCATTAGCTAATGTTTGAACCACATTTACCTCTCTTAGCCCGGCCGATCTGTCCGAGCTTCGGAGGTCTTTTTCCTTGCGACGCAGAGAAAAAGGCGCTGGTGTCCTGCAGTCCGCAGCTAAAGGACATCTGGTTGACCTCGCTGTCTGCTCCGTAGCCGCTCATCTTGCCTTCGTTATATGGCAACACCTCGGACATTGTGGCACAAACAATATCGTAGCTTTGTCACTGGCAATGCGAGAGAAAGTGCACGGTTATCTTCCAAAGGTGTGCTTTTTAACTCAGAGAAGGTTCCTGGCAGGATGGCTCCTGGATTATGAGTGTGGTCGTGGTGTCCTGGCGCAGCTGAGGTCCGCGGTGTGAGCTGTAGGCTGCAGAGCTGTGCTGGTCAGTGTCTGGCTGATGTCTGCTGAGGGAAGTGGGAGATCCCGGGATCATAAAGGAAACCCAACACAACGGTGAAGTCATCCACCCGGGTGTGAGCGCCTCTCTCTCTTTCTCATTGATCCGGAACAAGAGCGACACTTGCAGGCCAGAGGCGGTACTACAGAAAAGTTTCTAGCTGCTGTTCTTTGTTGTAACATTGTAACATACAGCCCATGACTGTAACTCATTACGGCTCACAGTTACACTCACACACGTGTTCTCGATATGTATTATTATCGATGCGTACTTTCTAATTTAGTTGGATAACGTTTGCTTTTCCAATATCATGTGCAAAGTATAAAAAAGATGTGTCAAGTAAAAAAACTGTATGATTAAATAAAATATGTTTTTTCTTTTATTGTCATTCCGCGTACTGTCTCACATCAACATGACACTTGCGGTGCAGTCACATCAAGGTTTCCTTTTTATTTATTACGATGTATATAGATACAGTAACAGTCATTGTTTTTCTAATGACCATTATTCATGATTTGTATGATTAATATTTATTTATCTTAAGTAGTGACTGTACTTTCTGATCGTAATTATCCCTGGTTCTTATTTGTTGCGTCTTTTTCAGTCTGATTACGTCACCAAGATGGCAGGAGGTGGCGTGCGAAAACGGTCTCCCGGTGTAACAAGCCCTTTTCTGGGCAAACTGCACTGTTTGTGGCAGGATAAACACCGGGTCCTATTTAAACCCGAATACACATTGCTTATCGTTTCAATCCTATGGTTTCTAGAAATCGGAATCAACGTATGGGTTATACGAAAAGTGCCATGTGAGTAACTGAGTGAGCAGCTAGTTAGCATGCTATCGTGCGTCCCCATTCATAAGAATCCAACTCGGTGCTAAATGGTTAGCTTTAGCTTGCTCGCTTGACACACCACCTGTCAAAGTTAACAGTTGAGTCATGAGTAGGCAGCGAGTGTTTGCTAAATTTGCAAAGTCACTTTAATTACACCTCTCCATGTATGAATCATGCTTGTGATGTTAATAGTTCTAAGAAGTATTCATAATAAAACAATGGGAATTTCTAACACATACTGATAAATATTTATTTATGTGATCATCAGACACTGAAATAGACTGGAGAGCCTACATGGATGAAGTGGAAGGGGTCGTGAATGGCACCTACGATTACATGAAGCTTAAAGGAGATACTGGTCCTCTGGTGTGAGTGTCACTTTTATGTATTGGGTTTGTTTCAGATATGCGTAATCAGATTGTGTTTTGTTTCTTGCTAGATACCCTGCTGGATTTGTTTACATCTTCACTGCTTTGTACTATATCACTGGTCAAGGTGTTAATATTCGTCTTGGTCAGTATATTTTTGCAGCTTTCTACTTGATCACACTACTGCTTGTCTTCAGACTGTATGTCCGTACCAAGAAGGTAAATATGAAAATTGAGGAAATACCTGCTTTATATACAGGAGGTTAAAAATGTGTGCTCTTCTAGGTCCCCCCCTATGTGTTCTTCTTTGTGTGCTGCGCCTCTTACCGCATTCACTCCATCTTTGTTCTTCGGCTCTTTAATGATCCAGTTGCCATGATGTTACTGTTTGCTGCCATCAATCTTTTTATTGATGACTACTGGTGGTTGGGATGTGGTATTTATAGGCATGTATCTGAAGATGTATTTTTTTCTTGGAGTAATTTCAAAGTAACTTTGTTCCTTGCAGTGACACAAAAAATTAATATATATATTCTCTTTTGACAGTTTAGCGGTGTCTGTAAAAATGAATGTCCTCCTGTTTGCGCCTGGGCTGCTATTTCTTCTTTTGTCAGAATTTGGTTTGATGAAAACAATCCCAAAACTGACTCTCTGTGCAGGAATACAGGTATGTACTGTATCTTCACAACGCAAACATTGGATAGGGATAACGTTTATTTCTTAATTATTGCTCACATATAATATCCATTAGAAGAGAAACTAGAGAGTCTGTCAGCTGCTTTTAAATGTTAACAGTAATGCTTGACCTGGGCAAATTGCATATTTTCCCTACAGATTCTGTTGGGTCTCCCTTTTCTCCTCGAAAATCCTGTTGGCTATTTCGGCCGAGCTTTTGATCTTGGACGGCAGTTTATGTTTAAATGGACTGTGAATTGGCGCTTCTTACCTGAATGGCTCTTTCTAAATCGGCAGTTCCACTTCCTCCTACTGGCAGCACATTTACTCACACTGCTGCTCTTCGTCTTGCGCCGTTGGAAGAGGTTAGAAACTGCATTTGTGATGGCATTAGAACGTATCAACGCTGTAATCATGTGCTATGTGCAATACTGCGACTTCAGAATGTCCAGAATCTACTTATTATCCTGCCCTTAATGTATATGACTTTGCACTAATATATTTATATATATATATATATATATATATATATATTATATATATATATATGTATGTGTATATATATATATATATATATATATATATGTATGTGAGAGAGATATATATATAATGTGAGAGAGATATTTCAAAAGATTGATATTGAAGCATTTACAGCTAGCTATGAAACAGCAGCTACTTTTATTGTATACTTTGTCTGCTCCCTGTGTGCTCTTACTACTGTCCTGTGCGCTGCAACATTGAAATGTCCACACTGGGACAAATAAGCATCTCTTATCTTATCATGATCAACAAATGGATAATAACTTACAATACTAACCTTGTTTTTGGAAATCTTCTCACTTTTAGACCAGGTGAAAGTATCTTCGACCTTCTAAAAGAACCAAGCAAGAGGAGAGTCCCCCCACAGAAGACTTCTGTTGAACATATCCTTTCAAATACAGTTTAATGACTTATTTTTACAACTAAGGAGTGTTCATTTTCCATTTGAGTATCCATTGTTGACCTTAATGCACCTGCACATATTGTTCTCATTTTGTTCACCTCAAACTTCATTGGGATGTGCTTCAGTCGGTCGTTACATTATCAATTTTATGTGTGGTATTTTCACACCTTGCCTTTCCTTCTCTGGAGTGGAGGAGTGAAGAAACTAGCAGGCTTACTTAGGTATTTGCTTTCACTCAAAACGATGTAAGTGATTGTGGATTAAGGGTTTTTGTTTATTTTTTAGGATCCTCATTTTGGGTCTGATTGAGTTGTCGTGGAACACGTACCCTTCTACTTGTAGCAGCTCAGGTACTCTACACGCCTGTCATCTCGTCATCCTGCTCTGCCTATGGTTGGCTCGCCCTATTTCCATAGTCTCAACAGAAACAAACAAGGACAAAAATCAGTGATCCATATCCAGCCAGGCATTGTATTTTTGCAGATATATTTATTCTACAGTCTTTGTCTTTATCCTTATTGCAACACACTGTGGTGAGTCCGCACATTAAGCCATTGATGCAATCATTGCAATTGCACAAAGTTTGTTATATCTTAAGAAATCTATTGTAGAAGTAATATGGAGGAAGTTGCGAGGGGTTTTTGTGTTGTTTGCTGTTTATGATTGTTTTTGAACTCTTGTTTTAGAACAATTATAATGTCTCAAATTGAAGCTTGTCCTCATGAGAAGGTTACACGTCTATGTTGATCTTAATGGACTTTAATCTTGGTTACAGCTCACTGGTAATTATGTTACCCATGTTCATATCTGTGTATTTTATGTCCAAAGTTGCTTTGATTATCAGCCCACAATGTGAATGTACAGTGGACTCAAGCATTATTGTATATAGGTTTTTTAATAAAGCAACCAATTGTCTGTTTGCATTTCTGTTAATGAACAAATCAGGTCAAGGCAGGTGTTCTATAGGAAATATAAATGACTGCATTGTATGATTTAAAAAAAATAACAATAATGAAAATGTAACTATAACTATCCTCCTAAAGGTTAAATACTGTCCTGTCAAAACTGTTTAAAGTTAACTATAAATCTTTTTGGCACTGAAAAAGACCGTGTTAAAGTGTCAAAGGTTGAGTCACACATTATTAGGATTGTAGCACAGCATGTTGAGTTTGATGTTCTCGTCCCAGTGGCGAAGTAGAAGAAACAGCTGTCTTGCTGCCCCCCTCAGCGCAGCCAAGTCCACTCCCTCAGGGAGCTCCTGACAGCGCAGCCAGAAGTCTGCTTTTGCTGCTACCAACTCCCACTCCATAAAGTATCCTGCACAGCGGTGCTCCAGCCAGGCCAGAGCTACTGCAGTCGCCCATGTGGAGCTCTCCAAGTCGTCCTGAGCCAACAGATTGCCCTGGACAGAATCCACAAAGAGGCTATCGCAACCATCTGTCTCCGAGCCACGGCCACTGTCCGCCTGAGCGTGGCCAAGCTCCGGAGAGCCCTCCTCAGAGCTCAGCAGCTCAGGGGGGGAGCTCAGGGGCTCTTTGTCAGATAGGTGTCTACGTCGAAGTCTTGGCTCAAGCATCAGTGGCGTGTCATCTGGAGTGTGATGAAAGGGAGGTGCCACAGGCTTATTGAGAGGACAAGAATAGGGGGAGAAGGACACGTGCTGTCCAGGGACAGCTGACGATTTGGCAGCAGAAGATAAAGATGGAGCACTGGGAGATGTGCAGCGGAAAGGTGGGCTCAAGCTGCGGCGGTGGAGACTGTACGGGGATGCTCTCTTCAGACGATCCACTGGTATCTGGACACAGTCCGAGTAAATGTCAGTCAGAAGAAAGGCTCCTGATGCCAGCTGCAGACGGACCTGAAAACAAACTTGCACATTCAGAAACAGCTAGTTTTTAGAGGGATTTACAGAAGTTATTTGTTTAGAGCTCACCAAGGGCAGGTAGTCTGGAGTTTCAATATCAAGTTGTTTCTCTGGTTCAGCAGAGAGACAGTGAGACTTAAGAGGAACCTGTTTCCCGGATGAAATGGATGACCTGAGTCTGCCAAGTGGAAATCTGAAACAATCACATCAAAACAATAAGGGGAGGAGAAAAACAATATTCCATATACATTTGTAAAAACTCACTTTGTGCCAAAAAAGCTTTCCATTGACTTGCTTTCTATAGATCTTTGTGATCGTGAAAAGGAGCTGCCTGGTATTGTTGGGTTTGCTCCAGTGAAGGAACTGCTCACATCTTACAACAATACACAAAAAATGTATACAAGAAGAATGCTACTGTGTGAGAGGACAGCAATCTGAGAAATGTGTTCGGCCTACATTCCACTTTGCTTTCTATTGTTATTTTATTTTACTTTTTTACATATATTACCTAATTGAGACTCACCTAATTTGAAGATAAAGACACTGATTGTGTTACTTACTGGAGTCCCAGGATGTAAGACTGCAGGGAGAGGCAGGGGTTTCATCTTTGTCTGAAAGAAAGATACTGTTGATGATCTGTCAGGAGAAGGTTCCCCAGTGTGTTCGTTTGCACCTGTAGAATTGAAAGCATCCTCCAGGTCTTCACTGTCCTTGCTTGTGCGGCGCCTGCCTAATCCCACAGAATATGTTTTCTGTTTTCGATTTTCAGAAACAGAGTTATGCTTGTTGCCCATGTACAGTCCTCAAACATTAAAAAGACATTTGTTATTAATTGTACAAAAACACATTTGATAATTGTTTTGTGATGCAAACTAAAACTAGCATACCAGTGTGTTGAACATCCAGACATTCTGTGACTCCTTTGCTTTGGGTGCTGTCTGTTATCGTAAAGGTTGTATACATGCAGATGATGTTGCAGTGCTTACTGGTTTGAATGGCCTTCATACGGTAGCGTTTTAGTGAATCTAAGCATGTAGAGTGGGAAGTTAAAACTGTGCCTTTATTATTTTATACCAACCATGTAATAGAAAGTCTCACTGTGTCCTGTGTCACACTCCTTCTCTGCCATTTTCTCAAAATCCCTAATGACTGAACGTGCAGTGAGCTGGTGGACTATCTCCTTCCATGTTTCACCTTGGCCTTCTTCCAGTCCTTGTTCAGCTCTGTTCATCACTGCTGTGTACGGAGCTTCTGATGACCACAGGGGTCCTAGGACCACAGTGACTTCCCAGGACACTGGGTGCCCATTGAACTGCCCATGTATAATTGAGCGGCATTGGCCTGGAGGAGGGTCTTCCAGAGGGACAGAACAGAAGAGATTTTCTGGGTCTGCAAAACTATCCCAGTCCAGAGGAGATGCAGGAAACAGGAGCCCATCTGTGTGATACAAAACATGTTTGATTGGTTTGACACTCATTTTCATATTATTTTACAGTATGCTTACTAGAATCACTAAGACTTTTGTGGGACAACATGTCATGTCCCATTGAAAGGGTTGCTTCTGCATCACTTTCATCAAGCCGCCCTCCCATACTTTGGTCAAAAGAAACCCTCTCCAAAGCTCTTCTCAGGCGATGCATCTCCATCTCCCCCTGTGGAGAAGAGTAACTGCGTGCCGCCATGGTAGAACGGGCCAAGACTTTGTGTCTCATCCTTGAGTCCTCATTCACATCCAGATCCTCACCCTGGTGGTCAAATGACATAATAACTACCATGACATGCGTGTATACTGTATGTGTATATATAAAAAGTTAAAAACAGATCATCTTACCTTTTTTGATCCAATTTCAACTGTTTTAGCTGAAAGGTTTTGATGCCACACTGCGTCAGCCCAGCGAGCCAGACAAGATTTCTTTTCAGGACAAAGCATCTTTTCAAGGCCTTGAGGCAAAGATCCAGTGTCTAGTACAGAACCAGAAGCAGAATCCTCAAAGGAGGGGCTGGCACCATCCATGTTGGACAAGGTGTTTAAGTTTGACTGGGAGTGTGTCTGCAGAGTTGGGTCACTGCTGAGAGAGCAGCGCGTCAGAATATACTGCTCCTGAATGTAAGAGCTCTCCTCTATCCTCCACCTCACATCACTGGACCACTCCACATCCATACCTTCAGTAAAGCCAACATGAATAAGAATATATGATATTTATTATTACAAAAATGTGCATTTCCACTCACCAGGATCAGTGTTTCTTGCACATGAGAACTCAGAAGAGATTTCTCTGGATATTTCCCTCAGTGCCTCCTCTAAGTCATTACCTTCTGAACTTGTCACCACTGGCATCAACTCAGAGGAATTAGACGGGGAAAGGTCATTGTTACAAACACTAGAAGAGCTTGGATTTCTAACTCCGGCAGTCTGCTGATAAAATTGTGTGGGAAACATTTGAAGGAACATCTTAGCCTCTAAAAACTTATCAGTGATCTGTTCTTTGTACCTCAGTCTTCTTGGATTTGAAGTTTGAACAGTCATACAGAGTGCAGTATCCAATAAGGCAGTTTCCAGGGTAGAGGGGGGGAATTTCAGAGGGCGACAGAAGAGCCTCCATATTTTCCGGCAGGTACCAGTCAATACGAACATCAGTCAGAACAGGTTCAAAAGCCTTTTTCAAGGATTTGATTAACTACCAAAAAACAAAACAAACAGATCCTCAGATTTTTTTTGTTTATAAATGTTTCCCCAATAGATGGCAGTGCAGTCAACCTTTGGCTGCAGTCTCTCCTCATCGTCCAAGAACTCTGTCAGGCCTCCTGTCAATCTGGACACACCCTGCAGGAGCCGTCTGCATGCTTTGGGACCAAGGCCCAACCCAAAACACCTGCAGAGATTTTTTACTGAACATATGCATCATATGGGGGTGACAGTGGCTCAGTTGGCATAGGCCTTTGAGCCTGAAGGTTGTGGGTTCAATCCCCACATGAGACCTTCTCCACCGACTCCCACTGATGTCTGCTGTCACTGTGTCCTTGGGCAAGACATTTAACACCACTTTGCCTGAAGGCCCTGCTGAAAGATCAAGGCAGCTCAGACTAGAGCAGCCATCCTCCTGTGGACTTACCACCTGCAGGAGGATAAGTGAGGGGCTGGTGCTCTGTGTACTAGCCCTGCACTTGAGCCCTTGGCCCGAGGGCCCCGACGGCCCGACAGCCCGAGGGCCGGGCTTCGGGCCGATGACCGCATAATGACCTCGGACATGGGCCGGGCTCGGGCTCTTCATTTTCAGAGCGGCAGAATACATTTACGAACGCACCCACTGAATATAGCGTTCTATCACGCTGTAGTGTTTGTTGTTCTGTGTAGTGTTGTCATTGACGGCACATAGCGTTACTTACAGGTGTGTTGCAGCATCTGGGCATCATACAGCTGTGTATCATACAGATGTTCACTCTGCACCACTCCGCACACACAGAACTCATTGCAACACATCACTACCATGTATAACTCCGCCCTCTAGCTAAGTCTGCGTTCATATCAGTGCGCGGCACTATATACTACGCTAAAACATTGTTATGGGAGGTTACAAAAAAAAAAAAAAAGGCGGGCTTGATGCGGGTTTCGGGCCTGAAAATTGAGAAACCATATCGGGCCGGGCCGGGCTGGGGCGCCACCCCCTCGGGCCAGGGCCGGGCTCGGGCCCAGATAATAGGCCCGTGCAGGGCCCACCTACCAGTGGGTGGTATTAAGGGGTAGAAAATGAATGGATGGAAATGCGTCATGTGCGTTATACAGTCTATGGTTAAGATAAGATAAGATACAACTTTATGGATCTCAAAGGAGAAATGTACATTTGGCCTAAATAGGATCACTCAGAGACAGGAAATGTACATTTGAGTATATGATGTGCTATAAAGGTATTTCTCGTACAATAAAAAAAGTGGCTATAGCGGTGCGAAACTATTTGTTGAATTGTTGTAAATACAGAGATGAAGGATACCCATCAAACAGGAGAATACTAAAAAGGTATAATAGATGTGACGTTTAGTGAATTGCCTAAAGGCTTGGAGCAAACCAGTGAGTGTGCTCTTGCTGCAGAGGAGAGCACTTAGTGAGATTGCCGGGCAGGGTAATAAAATATTGTCCACTTTCTTCTGTCGGAGCTTGGTCATTGCTCTTCATTTCACCCCCTCATACATTGTGAACTGGAAGATTAACGCATCTAATTCTCTATTTATTACACAATAGAATTAATCAATGTTCCTTTTAATGAAGAGAGAAGTCTGAACCTTGTATGGTTTATAGTTGAGGGGCGTCTTACCTCCCAGAACATGCGTTTCTGCGGACCAACTCCAGTATTTTGGAAACGCTGCTGATCGTCCCATCTGTAATAATAAATATCTGTCGAGGGCTGGAACGCTGCATTGGCTGCTGATACAACCAGGACATCACCCCCAGCAGATTGGTGCCTCTCATGTCTGCTTTCATCCTCTGTATGTACTCGCTTGCTTGCATTAGAGTGACCTGTAGTGAATACGCAGACAAATATTGGAGAGAAAACAGGATCCACATCATGTGTAATCATCAATGCCACCAGTAAAACCTGAATGTTTAATATCGAATGCCCCAATTACTCTGTGAAGGTGGGTGGACACATATTTAATTACCACAGGAAAGCAAACATGCACACCTCAGCACCTGCACCTTAAATCAAACTGTGTCCAAACAAGAGAGCGACAAAGTGGAATTTCCAGCTGTAGCAAAGAGCGCAGGAAAGGTCACCATATGGTCCGTCCTGAGTGCACGGCCTCTTGCCTCTTGCATCCAGCCCAAACCTAATACTCTGCTGCTAGGGAAACGCAACCACTGACCTTTTGCATGATTAGTTTGGAACAAACCAACAAAAACACCACTGCACTTAACACTGTAAACCTAATGAGTGCAGCGTACACAGACATGACTACTGGAGACATTCATCTAGAGAACACTTACATCAGTACAAAGTCTGCTCATAGAGAAGAGTGGTTTGACAGTGGTGCCAAAACCCACAATGTTGAGTGTTGTCCCTGAAGGGAGACTCTTCAAGGCTACAACAATGGCTTCCTTGGAAAAATAAAACATACATACAAAATAAACCATAAAACAACTAGGATGTTTTTGTGTGTAAGTATGGAGAAAAGACTCACTTTCACTCGTTGAATATTGGTGCCACTCATGCTGCCGCTGCGATCTATAATAAAAACTACTTCTCTGGTGGATTTGTGAAGTTCTGTGGGTTCACTTAACAGGTCGGGACAAAAATTAAGCATCAAAACAGGATTGCTCATGATGTCTTTGTGATAACGCTTTCTCACAAACTCCAGCTGTAAAACAGTCAGAGTTGATACAACCTCAGGGTTAATTCAACCTAAATCACAGTATGAAAAGTAACCTTTTTCTCAGGCTCTGGGTTTTGCCTCATAGAGCGGATAAAATCACGACGAGAGGTGATCTGCTGATCATACTGGGTGAAGGAAAGCCTTCCTTTTTCCACTATTACTAAAGGCTTGTGTGGTTCTGTGAACACAAACATAAGTTGTGTTTAATAAAATAAATAATAAGTAAAAAATATATGCCTAACAGATAAAAGAGTGACCACTGAGGTGCAGTATGATTTCTATGTGCCGGTCGTAGGGGTGCTCCTGTGCCAAGGTGATGTAAGTAGTTGAGGCACTTTGAGCACTGGGGTTGGCATCTGCTCTGAGGGCATGAGTTGGACTTTCCAATCCTGATAGAACATGACAGAATCATTTGTTTAATTTGGATGATTTCAAATGACTTAAAATTATGTTGTTTACCAGCCAGTAAGCAGGCTGCACGGACGAGGAGTTGAAAGTTGAGTTCATAAGTTGCCAGGTTAGCAGCTGGGCTGGTGAACCTGCTGTGTGCACACTGCTGTTCAGAGTGCATGGTCCTGTCCGATTTCCCTGAGGTGGCTCCAAAGCAGCTAGTTGCTCTGAAGGAACGAGTTAATAATGAAATACATTATAAAGAACATTAAAAGATGCATTGATCACAGCATTGTACCCCATCTCTTCTGATTTTCCTCCATTGTCACTCTTGCTTGTCCTGTGTCCAGTGACTATTGGAGTAAGTGCAGTGGGATATATTATACGAATGGCTCCATTTTCAAGTGTAGGAAGTTCCAGTGTGGTGCTCAGGGTTATGGACACTATATCCATGGGGCCAATGACTCCTGTACCCACAATAAAAGTGGTTCTTTCCAAATCTTCATCTAAAACAACATGGCCTGAAGAAAAAACACAATATGTTACATTTAACTAAATCAAACTTCCAAGCTGCCATGTTCCCAAGACAGGTCCTTGAACAAAAATATATTGACTGTCTATGATATGAGCATAGTAGGATTATGTATCAAAGTTTTGGGCAAACCCTAACACGAATCGGTCCGAGAAGGACACATAGTATAATAAACTGCACACCATTGGTACATTGCATATCGAGGTTCCCCCTGCCACAGCATCCCCATTCCCGGCTGTTGCCACAGTGGCTCTCTAGGCCAAACTCTGAGCAGCAGTCCAGGCAGCAATCCTTCAGCTTTCCTCTGCTCTCAATATGAAGTCCGACCAGACGGCCTGCGATGGCCGCCTCGAATCCAACCACTACCTCCTTCTCTCCGAGAGGGTAAACAAAGATCCCTGCGTGACACAAACAGAGTACAGTCAGATGAACAAAGTTCTTCTTGAGGATTCTGTACCTTCCACAGCTTCCACGTCTACATTGGCGTAGGTGAGATGGGCGCTGATGCCGAGGGAACAGCCGCTCGCACACGACTTTATACATGAGGCTTTAAGTAACAGTGGCTCCCACGTGGAGCGGTTCCTCAGCCCCACCATCCTATCACTGTCTGGAACTCCTCCTGGAACAGAAACCACACGTGTCATCATACATTTGTATAAAAGCTCATGAAACATAAATCTCAAAAACATTGTAAAACTTCATAATTATTTAAATTGACAACATCTGAAATAGTGAAGTTAAAGTAAAACTGCCAACTAAGCACATCACCTGACATGACCAGCTGTATGCTACAACGTGGAAAAAACAATCATATTTAGGTAAACTAGCAAAAAAAGGTGATTTTCAGGACAAATGCAAGTCAGGTTTATTCACATATAAAGGCACATTATACTTTATTATTTATAATTATAGGCATTTATTTCAAGATTTGACATTTCTACATTTTTACTTTTGGTCAACCATTTGTATGCGTGTGTCAGCCATGTAACTGAGCTATGTCCTCTCCTCAGGCTCTTAGCAACCGCTAATGTTAGTTTAAGTCAACGACAGTCAATGATTAACTGTGCCGCTCAGAGCCCATTATTACTATGCATTATAGCAGGTGTGCTTCATCAATACTCAGCTACTGTCTTAGACACACTGCTCCTTTATCCTTAATATAAACAAGCAAAGCCTGGATAAACTTAGGAGAAAAGTTGATTTGGTAGTTTCTGTGCACAAATTTGTGTTGGGTTAGCACATGTTTGCCACGCTTCATGAAGTGCACTTAACCCAGCCATCTTTGAGGACACAACCAACACTCTCCATCTGGCTACTGTGCTGTCCAAATATTAAAGCAGGTTAATAGCAACTTTAGAGACAAAACAGCGCATCACTCTTTGCTCAAAACTCTGACAGCCAGAACAACATGAAGAACAAGTGAAATGTGTAAATTTCGAGAGATGTACAAGTTGAAAGTGGATCACCTGATGTCATACTCAAATGATTCAACATGAGATCTACATTTGAACAACAATGAACCACTAGAGATTGTTTAGACATAGCAGCAATGTATGCATATGAGGGCAACAGAAATGTCCTGAACAAACTGACTCACTTACTTTATAGAGCTGTGCCAAGTTCAGCAGCCTGCTTCTGTGTCCAGCTTCTGCATCACATCTGAGGATTGGAGACAGCAACCGTGCCCCCCCCCCCCATCCTTTCCCTCCCTTTCCCTCCCTTCCCCTACCTTCCCCTACCTTCCCCTACCTCTCTCTCTCGCTTTCTCCTGCAGTTTGCCCTGTAAAGAAACCTTCTTTTAGAAACAAGTTTCACTTTTAAAGGAAGTAAAGACATGCACAAACTACCCATTCATATTTTCTCCTCTGTTAAAAAAAGTATCCAACTTGAAATGAGTGCGGATTATTCATAAGAGTGGTCTCCAGTTTGACCTGCCATGCTGCTGTGAGCACTGATCATTTACTGAGATTCTGGGGCTGCAGAGACAAGCCAATAACACAACAGTAAGTGAGGCACAGCCTGCTTCTCATCCAGACAATTGGCTGTGATGGTGGCAGCCATAATTCAAGGCAAATGAGAAAACCAGACTGGCTCTTTGTACAGGTCAACCTCTCAGTCACATGACACAAGGTTTTACTTTGCAAAATTCTGCTGGAAAGTAAAACTGCATCTGTATATACAGTATCTGTTGATTTCAAACCTGTCCAACAAAACAGACACAGGTTTACAATACATGGTTTGAAAAGGGATTAGATGAAGCAGACGCACATACAGCAGAATTCAACACTTAGCAGTGCCCACTTAAGATTTCTGCTTGTGAAAGATTTTTGAAAAAGTTTTATTATTCATTTTAAAGTAGTTCTAAGTTCTAATATCATTGTGGGCATCCCTTTTGTGCAACACATTGTGTACAAGCAGGGGGGTAGCACCAAATTCAGGGCCCCGGGTACAAACAGTCTCAATGGGCCCCCACTACACGTTTCTTATATATATATATATAAATTGAATTAGTTAATACAATTCTGATTCATGTCCTTTGGTTTTATTATCATCAATATTGTTGATGGCCATTAGCGGACTTGGCATACTGGAGATAATTTGGGAATGGTTTGCCCTCCATATCTTTGGATATGGTATTGCCTGTTTTTGAACCACCATCACTGGCTAGTAGATGAACAATTCTTTTCCTTTGTTTATCGGTGAGATTCTCTGGCCATAATCCTGGGTCCTCTGACAATCCCTCATCATTATTACTCTGTCTCTTGGTGTTGTCTCTTTCCTCCTCAATCCTCTCCACATTCTCATCACTTTCGCTTTCCCTTTCATCACTTAATTCAGTTTCTACATCCTCTTCTAATTCTGCCTCTGCCTCTGCTACATGGACACAATACAGACAAAAATGATATAGAATTAGTGTATACAGTAAAATGTATAAAGTAATAACTTACTAACTTATTGAAGTTAGTAAGTCAGTGACTGATAAATGCTCACCATGCCTCACTGTCAAACCCTCACTACTAGTGCCTTCATCTGGCCATGATGCTTCTCTTCCTGAAACTGAAATAAAGTAGCTTTAATGGGTTGCAAACAGATACTATATTCCATCATTACAGTGTATAGCTATTACGTATATGCCTGCATGCCTTTATGTGATATGTGTATATGGCTATTCATATAAAATATATAGTATATCTTATCTTATTTGTATGGACCATGAGTAGGTAAGTTACTTATTTGTTATTGTACAAACATACAACAAAATACTTTTTATGGTTCATTATTATCCACCAATTTAGACTTTGTGAAAATTCAATCGATGCAATCTTTTTTGAAATAAGCCTATTCCATTTTCAACTAAACACCTGTGCCTAGCCTTACTCCGCCCACATGAACATTTGAAATGTTTCTGTAAAAATGGCACCAGTGGAGAAGAAGGGGGGCTTACAGTTGGGCATGGTCTGGGCTGTGATTGTCAGTTGTCATTTCTGGCTTAAAAGCAATAGTTTACACACCAGAAAGTCTCATTTCACCCTTTAGACCATTAGACTTATTTACATTATTTTGACCACTAGATGTCACCAGAAACCTCCAAATGGGTGCGGGGGCGTGTGATTTGTATGGTTATAACCAGATGATCCAATGCAGAGGCCAGTGAGTGACCCGTGACTTATGACTGCAAGACTCACGGACGGACAGATTATGACAATAGTGGGAATATAGGGTACAGGGTTGTACATGAAAATAACTCTTTGCTGCCTGCCTTTGAAGGAGAAGTGGACAGCAGTGTGTGTGAGCTCCCTTTACAGCTGCGCGTCTGTGTGTCACTCTGGATAACGTTTTTTTTTTTACCACGTACACAGCACACTGTTAGCTCTCCGTGAGTTTAGAATACAGAAACAAATGTCTCTGGGTTTTCTCCTGATGTGGCCTTAACACGTCTCTATATACTCACCTCTCGTGTGGAAGAACTGAGTAAGCAATTGCTTGCCCTCATTACACTTTTTCTCCCTGTCCTGTCTTTCTTTTCTTTTCTGAAATCCTGATTTTCCTTTCTTTGGAAAAGACATTTCTATTTTTCCCGCTTCTGCCGCTGCTTGTCAAAGAAGTCAACTCGCTACAGCGGCAGCAACACAGCAACACGCGCACATGTGGGTCGTACCATTTGATCTTTTGTAAGGGGGTGGCAGGGCCCTGATATAGCATACAAATTTGTTTTTAGAGGAAAACTGAGGTTAAAACGTTGGTTATTTTTATACAGGGCCCCTTTCATTCAAATTGTAATAATATGAATATACCATAATGCCTAATACATATAAATATAAAGACACACTTTAGAGGGCCCCTCCCCGCCTTGGGCCCTGGGTACTCGGTACCCTTTACCCCCCCAGTCCGACGCCCATGTGTACAAGTGTAATCTGAGTACTGGGTACATTTTTATTAAAAACATCAAAGTGGACATTCAATTTCCATAATATGACAATAATCATAATACATGGCATTCATTAAGTGCTTCTATTAGCATCGAGTCTTTCAGTGCATCATAATCATATATTTTGACTCTTTTTACATTGTGCTTTCTGTCCAGGTGGGGAACCTGATTTTCAAACAGGTCAGAGAGGATGGATTAAACCCATAGAATTTGCGATAGAAGAAATAAAACTCCTATAGTCAAAGCCAAGTTGTGTCTTAAGCTGCAGAAGCCTGTTTCACACGCAAAAGTGAGTTGGGTGTGCACTCTGCACCAGGCTCTGTATGTAGTGTGTGCAGCTAACCAATGTTAGAATGAATTTACTGCCTTATATGACAAAAGTAAGATACCACTCTGTGTGTGCAATGCATCATGTCCTCTAATACTATGACATGTAAAGTAGCACATCTCACCTGTAGAACCCTGGTCCTGCCTGGCTCCACAGGCTCCACAGGCTCCACAGGCCCCACGCCGCAGTGTTTCCCCAGGACACACTCTTAAAAACTGTCGGGGCCCCTGCTGCGGTGAGTCGAGACTTTTGATTGAAATACATTTTAAAACATTAAAATACTTTTAAATATGCAAAACATTCCACAAACATGCTTGTAAACACGCTTCCGTAACACTAAACTTTTTTTAAGCCAGTTGTGTAGCATCGATTGTGACATCCCTATGTACCATGTGACAGTGCAATTAAACCTTCTCCAGGGTTCTCCAGGGTTAAAGCCCTTCTAAGAACGGACATTGCATTAGCCTTGACTATAAATGTAGTGTTTCACATGTTGATCTTGTACAAATAAATCAATGCATAGATAAACTAAAATGAATCGAAATGTCTCCATCTTATCTTATCTTATGTTATGAACCGCAAAAGGCTATCATTGACAATAACACCATGGATGAGCAGTTTCGTCAATTTGACACTAGATGTCAGGCTTTCGCAATGTATTCTGGGCCTGAAGTTATTATTATAGATCCATGAGTAAACCACATGCTGGTCCTCGCAGGTCTTCCAGACCGGTGTAGTCTGCTACAGTCTCTACTCTGGTTTAGATTTATTGTATCTGAATACTTACAGCCACTACTTCCTCTGCAGAGTTTGCACGAGAGGTGGCTGTTTATGAACACAGAATAAGGGGAAATTGTACACAGTCCTCTATGTAAAGAAAAGTAAAGTAACAGTTTTGCAGCCCATGTGCATTTGTGATGTACATTAGGCTGCTGCTGAAAAGCGCATGGTATTTGCAGCTCCATAGATTTACTGATCTTTGAACAGCTGTGGGCGTCTTTATATATAACTAACAATGATGTCACCTCATGTCTGCGACCATTGTCTTAGATTCAAGAATCTGTCTGAGCTCAGTGATGGGAAGCTCTTCTCTGCCTACCCCACTGACCTACATTTCAATTGTTTCTATTAAAACAATGGAAGGGTTAGTTTCATGACCGAAGACAATACCTGGTGTTATTCAACACGATAGTTGTCAGTGAAGCTTTGTTTGTTCATGTGCATGTGTAGAGTCAGTTGTAAGGAGGTCCATAAAACCACTCTCAGCATGTCTAAACTACACATACTATCAAGGGACATACATACATAGCCTATTTGAATCAACTTAGATAAGTTTGCAGTGTAGTTGCAATGCACATTATACACTGTTGGAATAAAAGTAGCACTCAAAACAAGATAACAATAGTAATAATATTCAAATTAATAATAGTATGATAATAAATATGAATATTTGACAATGGCATGGACTACAGCCAAGAGTTTGGACAGTGCTGTGCTCAGCATTTGCAGGATAAAAGGATGGAGCAAATTAATCAAAGTACATCAAAGAGCAGCAGGCGGAGGAGAGCGTGAATCAAAGAGAGCCGCCGTGTCCCAGGACGGGCCGCGTTGACCAGATCTCAGGTCAGGGCACACACAACACAACATTGAATCATTGTGAGGAAACAATACGTTTACTGGAACAGTTAAAGTCAAGCCTTTTGTCCTTTAATTCTTTACAGATAAAGATTGTAATTATGGCGCATTGAACATTTGAGTATAAATAAGGCCCAGTGAAAACACATTGTGCCTGTAACCTCCGTTAGTGTTCTCATCATTCATTTTTGGTTATTTTTGACTGTCCATACTGGCTTAGTTGACATTTGCGTATGAGCTAAATGCTTCAGAAATGTGCTTCAGACGATGGACAAAGAACTCAAAGCAGAACATACTTTTGACGTAGCTCTACAGGCTGTTACTTCTTTAGATAATAGAATATTGATATTGAGAGAACAGTCCAATGCTTTTAGGCGTATTCTCTGCAGTCTTTATGTTTGCCAGTACATGCAGTGCTGTAAAGCTCTCTGTAACTGTATATTTTATGTAACAAAAGTAGAGTTCAGCAGAGAAAGACAAAAGTGATGCGAACTGACAATATTTTAATGGGAGGGAGAAAGGACTGTAAGTGATCAATAGAGGCGGCCGCCAACTGATGCCCAGGCCGCGTCTTTGAAGTGGCCATCCTCAGAGGGTTGCCGCTCACAATGGCCCCTTTGATGCCCGGGAACATACCAGACACTTCTGCTGCTCTGTGCCATCCGGATCACTCATGCTCTCCCTGTCCCGTCCACACTGTGACTTTGGATTTGAACACTTGTTGATGTGTCTCTCCACATTCCTGCACACCAATGTCAAATCAGCGCATACTCTTACATGAGCAACTCGCTGCCCTTCACTCAGCATTCATGAATTCAAACTCCCCTTTACCAAGCCGCTAGCCAATAGTTGCAAGCTGCACCCAATAGTTCCCCCCTTTTCAATAGTTACGGCTCCCTCCCCCCGCCTCCTCTCACAGAATCAAACCTCTTTGTGATATCCAGCCTTGGCAAGTGGTGCCCGACTTGCTGTCATAGCCTTAATGAATTCATCTGTTTGTGTATTCATCGTGGCACCATCTCTGTCTCCTCCCTCTGCCGAGTCTCCAGCTCTCATCTCTCTCCTCCATATCAATCTGTATATATACCAGGGACCACTCCAGAGAGCTATTGTTTCTCTGGCTAAACATACAGACAGATGCCCTGCACGGCTGTGGGAGAGAGCCTAGAGATCCAGGAGGGAGTCATCAGGTCTTGGACAGCAGCTTCCTCCTCATCATCACCTGAGTCTGTCTCTCTGCTCTTCTGTCTGCCATAAGGACCTTGGATGCCATTGACAACATGTTGCTTCTGCTGCTGCTGTCACTGCTTCTTCTGGACTTGGACGTCCTGCTGGCTGCTCCTGCCAATAGAGAAGTCTACAGGATGCCTCACAGTGCGCTCAGAGGTAACATGTGTGTTTTGTGTTGGCATATGGTCTAGTAGTCTAGTCTAACCTGCAATAAACACAATATGGATCCACAATAAAAAAGAAAAGAAGATCCATAGATCTTCTTTAGGCCTGGTTATGTTTGAAAAAAGGCAAAAACGCATATTTTGTGTTGAATTTTTGCACTGTAATGCACTCTAACCCTGCCCCACTGTAATCATGTTCTCAATAAAAAAAAATTGAAAAATAAAATAAAATAGCATCAGGATTATGTAATCGCCAGTGCTCAAACTTTATTTGTAGCTAAGAAAACCTTTATACAATAAAAAACACTATGTATCAATGGATTAGAAATGATGATGAATGATTTTTCTCTTGTGACAAATCGTTGTTTTTTTTCCTTTTTAAGCAAATACTAGAAGTAATGATTATCCTTTTATAATATACTACATTTGAATGTTCTTCTAAATCCAAATTGATTAACTGAACAGTACTTTCACTATATTTAGTGTTTCATCTACAACGTTTGCTTTAGTGCTGGGTTTTAGCCTGTATCCCTGAGTACATCCTGTCCACCAGCCTTTGCTCGCTCAGCGCTGTCCTTCTAATTAAGTCTTCAATCAGTATTGTTGTTGTTACTGTCCCACTCTGTGATGTGGTGCAGCGCAGAGGGGGGCCGCAGGGTTAGCGGCACTTTTGAAGAATATCTCTGGAAGCTTCCCCATCACGAGTTAGCTTCTATCACGCTGCCTGACAAATCCAATATAGACAATGAATGACATTTGCTAAGATCTTTAGCTTTGCACTACAGCTTTATCTGATCGCGGGACAGTGGTGTTAGAAGCTGCCATGACAAGTGCTTTGTCTGCCCTGGAACGAGCATCTTCTGAGAAGAGTCGGGCTGAAGCTGGCTGCAGGGGCTGTGTTCCCTGCCTGTTTCAGGACTGTGGGCAGTCACTATCATGCGGTTAGTTTCAAATATTTATTTAAAACCATTCAATTAAATTACAGGCAAATAACATTTACGTGATGTTATATTTCAACAGCACCCCCAGGAAATGCTCTAACTGAGCCAAGCTGTGAGGTGATCAGTAAAGCGCAGAAGCTGACTGATGAGGCCGAACGCAGCTGGGCCTTGAGTCAGGCCTGTGTGTTCTACCAGCACCGCTGCCAGCCCCTGGAGCTGGACAAGGAGAGCTGCATCCGAATCATGGGAGAGAGCTGCAGCGCACGAGTACTGCAGTGTAGTCTGCTCAACACCATGCACAACCTGGAGCCCACTACCCACACCCGCACACAAGGTGAGGCCATTGTTACCTGTCACATCGATACACTGTTCTAGCACAGAAGCACAGTGCTGTGACCCTCTGTGTCCCAGCAGCAGTGTGTGGGCAGAGGTCTTCTTCAGTGCCAAACGTCACTATGCCACGGTCAAGGATTGTAGGGGGCTCCCCTGCGACCCCAGGCAGCTGGCCTTGGCTGGTCAATCTGCAGCATGGAGGCCTTATGTGTGGAGGGGTATTAGTGGACAGCTCCTGGGTCGTCACTGCCGCTCACTGCTTCTCTGGGTTAGTGTCTTTTTATTTCCATAAATATTTTGAATAATACTTTAGTAGCTATTATAAAATTAGCTTTGTTTCTCAGGAGCCGTGGTGAAAGCTATTGGACGGCTGTAGTGGGGGAGTTTGACATAACCAAAGCTGATCCCGATGAACAGGTCCTCAAGGTTAACCGGATAATTCCACATCCTAAGGTATTAACTCACACAAATAGCAGCTCTCTGAAGACATCATGTAACATCTCTTTTCTTGCAGTTTAATCCAAAAACATTTAACAACGACATAGCGTTGGTAGAGCTCACAGCTCCAGTTGTCATATCTGATCATGTGACGCCTGTGTGCCTTCCTGGTGGGTCTGATCCCCCTACTGGTAGCCCCTGTCTGGTGGCTGGCTGGGGGTCTCTCTATGAAGGTAACATTGTGTTCAAATATGATTCCAATTACAATATAGCTGTAGCTGACTGTGTGTGACTTTCTGATCAGACGGCCCATCTGCTGATGTGGTGATGGAGGCAAAGGTTCCATTGCTGCCTCAGAGCACATGCAAGAGCACTCTGGGCAAAGACCTGCTGACCAACACCATGCTCTGTGCTGGATACCTCTCTGGAGGCATTGACTCCTGTCAGGTGGGCAGATATCACTTTTAGTAGCCCAACCAAGAGACTTGTAAATGATATAATGATGGTAATGTTTTCCATAGGGGGACTCTGGAGGACCATTGATCTACCAGGACAGAATGTCTGGGCGGTTTCAGCTCTATGGCATCACCTCCTGGGGAGACGGCTGTGGGGTAAAGGGGAAGCCGGGTGTCTATACACGTGTATCTGCTTTCTCTGACTGGATTCAGTCTGAGATACAAAGTATGTTTCAAACAAGGACTGCACTATAGTACCTTTTCTGTAATAATAACTAACATAATTTGAACTTTGAAGAGTCGTTTGGAAGCCGAGAACCAACATGCCCAGAGCTTCTTAAAACCACAGAGATGACAGAAGAGGAGCAGAGGGCAGAGTTCAGCTCACTGTGTCGCTTTTACCTTTTATCTTGTCCACCTGGAGTGTCAACTAGTACCTGCAGCCAGTCAGTTCAAGACAAGTGCCTCACACGCTTTAAGAAATGTCGTAAGTATTCCGCTACTGTTTGGATACAAAGTGTCAGTTTCTGGTAAACATGCATCCCTAACATTTATTTATCTTATTTGTTGCCTAGAGCTGCATTCTTTTCTTCAGACTTTATTGGAGTTGCTACAGAGAGCTGAAGATTACATTAGAGAAAAGGTGGATTTAACATTTTTTACTCAGACTCTGCCTCAGCTTGTGGAGCACATCTACAACACAGCATTCGCTCACACCCGAGAGAAGAGGGACATGACCCATGGACTTGGATCTATAGCAGGTAATTTACAACTTTTTTACTATAATTATATAAGAGGATTATTTAATGACTAAACATCTGTCTTCAGAGCTGCTGGGTAAAGTTGTGGAATCAGAAGACCCAGAAATACCACATTATTTCAGGCAGATGGGCCCATCAGTAGATGACTGGCAGTTGTATCTGCAGAGCTTGTCTGACAGTCAACAGAGTGAGACAACATCAGGAATGCAGAAGCAGGAAAAACTCCTCTTTCTAAAGGTAAGTGTTGTTCAAAAGTAACTTTGACGTGAAACCAATGACAAAAGCTAATGTGACACATCCTATGTATTCGTAGAAAGAAGCCATGTTGGTACACAATCTTGCAGGAGAGTATGAGTCGGTCATCTATTCCCTGCGCTCCAAGTTGGATTCTAGGTCTCTGCCCCCAGTCTTAAATTTGGGCTCAAGTCCCCTGATAGAATTCGCTGATGAGTCTCCCAGTTCGGTCAGCAACACACCGGAGAGCAGCATCCCCTCCCTGCACAATCAAGAGCCCTGGTCAATAGTCACTGCTGTGATTAGGGAAATTCAAAAGGTGAAGTCACAGAACCTGAGTGAAACTACAAAAGACATGCCTCCAGATTTATCAAGAGCCACATCTGAAGAGATTACTTTTTCTGAAGACCATAAATCATCACCCCCATCATCAACACCTATCTCAGAGATGAGACATAGTAAATACCAGCTAAACGCCAACACTACTGGTCTACAGAGAAAATACAGAAGTCTTCTTCGCAAAAGGCAGACAATGACATCCAGTGGCAAAGGTATGCAACACATTATATAATACATTTACATGGCATATTATGATCATCTGTCAATTACGAATATTTGTTTCTTACAGTCTGTCCTGCCGTTAGGGAGTCCTCCCAGAAAGTGATCCAAGTCCGGGACTTGTACCAGTGGGTTCTAAATATCCCCAACAAAAACTTACAAATGTCCTTTCACGAGGTAAACTAAATGTAGCCCAAAGACATCATATGTGCTACATACAATTGTTTTCAACCTTACATTGATGGTCATGACAGGTTCTAGTGGATTTAAGCTCAAAGAATGAGCGTGGTCTATATGAAGCTCGAGTGAAAGCTGTAGTGGGAGGACGTCCCGTGACCTTCTACAGTCTGGTTGGGCTGGACAGCGAGTCTTTTTACCGCAGCGTTCCCAGGATCATCTCTGTGGCGCTCGAAGGCCTCAAGACTTAGACCGAGCTCCTCTCTGGTACTATCCCTGAAAGGGGAAATCTATGAATGTATCTGTTCAGCAACTGGCCAACTTTCATACATACACTAATTATTTTAACTTATAAAACTGTAAATAGTTAAATTATTTCAATGTGCTAAGGCTGAGCCTTGTTAAGTATACAGTTTTTATTCCTTTGTATATAATATTTATTTGTATCGAAAGTACATTTGTATTTTTCTAATAAACAATGGAAAAGTTACATATATCCTTAAGTGACTCACATGGTCATTTATACTTTATAGCAGTAATGCATGACAGTCCAGCAGTGTTAGGAAGCTTCAGTATGTCTCAGATGATGCAGCTTTGCTCCTGTGGCTGTTTCAGCAGTACATTTGCCCCTGTGGTTGTGTGTGTATGTGGTTGTATGTGTGTGGTTGTGTGTGTATGTGGTTGTGTGTGTATGTGGTTGTATGTGTGGTTGTGTGTGTTTGTGGTTGCTCCATGTCCCTGCTGCTTCCTGGTGAAGTGTTCCTGTCAGCACAGCAGCTGCTCCACTCACAAACATGCATTTTCTGTGGATGCCGTTACTCCACAATGAGGAAATGTAACACGAGCCCACATCACCGAAGGTCCACAAATGCTAAATTTACCACTGGGGTAAATTTAGCTAAAATAAAGTGTAATACCATACTTAACATATTGCTGAAAAGTATGGGGAAAACTACAAAAATCTCAACTAGCTCCTCTTGACGGGGCTCTACTCCGAGCTTCTCCTGCTTCTTCTCTTGAATCCACAATCATGTTGTTGTGGCCATTACCCAAACCATGACCAAAACGGAGGATGGAAACGTAGACTTAGCAGTGAGAGCTTTGACTGCTAAACTGATCCGTCTGTCAACCTCTCGCTCCCTCTTTCCCTCACTCATGCACAGTCGGAAGGGGTCTGACTTACTGACAGAATAGTAATGACAAACCTACAAGATATTATGCTGGTGAATAAAGGTCAGAGAAAAACTGGTGGTGCATGTGGCAATTGCAAGCAATAGTAACATCGGAAAGAAAGAGCTGAAGAAGCTCGAAAAATACCAAGGGCTCAGCTAGGAGCTGGAGAGGGCCTGAAAGGTGAAGGTGACAGAAGTGCTTATAGTGATCAGAGCATTTGGGGCAGTGACCCCCAAGATGAAGCACAGGTTCAACAGATCCCTGGAACAACCTGGGAAACCTGAGCTGAGAGAGCGGTGGAAGGGTGAATTGAGTTTTTTTAATTTATTTTTTTATACATAGACTATCGATATGGTGTCATTACACCAATATAAATAAAATAAATTAGGTTAGAAAACAAATATATACAGTACACATATTTTACATAAATGTATGGAAACTCCTAATTTCCATTATATACAGTATATTCCTTATTCTTTCTTTCAATGCAAGTAGATGGAAGGTCTTCGACACCCTGTAAATACCGAGCCGTCATCTTGTTGTTTAGTCTCTAATGACTCACAATGTTGCACTATTTCAAGGGCCTGATCTGTCATCGCTGAAGGACTGACTCAAATAAACAAGCTTTATCACCTGCCTTTCACATTACTTACATTACTCTTATGTTCCAATATAAGATATTCTCTTTTGAATGGCAGATGTTTCGTTGCTATGAATATCGAGTGGAAAAGGCTGTGTTTATCCTGATGTGATGCTAAATGTGCAGACATGTCCTGAGTGGCAGCAACAGGTGCTCAGAGCAGGACTACAGAGCGCCGTGTGTTGGCTGATGCGTTGTCACATTTCAGGGCCAGTGTGATGCTCAGTTTATGTGTGTGTGTGTGTGTATTGTTGTGACAGCTGGAAATGTTGTGCTGTAAATACACACTTGTATTCAAGAAGAACAATTATCAGACCCCACCCTCCTAAAAGCCGTGGCTCAATGAATCCAGGCAGCACTACAGGCCACTTCTGCTGGGAACCCAACAAATAGTGACATACATTCTGCTCCTGCATAAAACTGTCCTTGTGAGTTGTAGTTATACAAATGGACTCTGGACTTGGGTTCTGCCTCTTTGTCTTGCTGAGGATAATTCTACTTGCCACAACAGGTGAGAAAACGTGTCGTTAAAATATTCACACCGGCAACTATGCTATTATTCTGATATTTCATCCCCCTTTTCAAGTAGCAGTGAATCAGTTTTACGACTACTGTTATTGTTGTTGTTGTACACAATAACTTGAGATAAATTATATTCTTTACAACGATTTACATGTACTTTCAGAATTGGTGCACCTAATAGTCCAGCAAGTACTGTGCATTTAAAACATTAAAAATGGTTGAAGTCCTTTGTATTTCACTGAAATTCCTTGTGTCTCTCTGCTGTTCACATAAACACACCAGGAAGCAGCTCTGGAGATCAATGACTGACTGGCATGTGTTCAAATCCCTTCCTGCTTCAACAAAATAAAAATACAAGCAGCAGAGTTCAAATTCTTCAACAAGAACATGTCCTCTTATGTTTCACCTATATACCATGGATCATATCTGCCTCTTTCTTGTGGATTAATAAATGAGGAAAATGTTGTGTTCATAGCTTTATCACATAATCTTGAAGCAGACCTCTTCCAAGATTTGATGAAAGACTATAACAAGAATGTCCGTCCCATGGAGAACAGTGGAGATGTTACCAAAGTCCACATCAAGATGACCCTGACAAACCTTATTTCTCTGGTCTGTATGTGTCATATTAATGCCATGTGATTTCTCTCGCGCTAACAAATCCAAATCACCTCCACAGAATGAAAAAGAGGAGGCCTTGACAACGTGTGTATGGATAGAAATGGTAATGTGTCCATCAATAAATCACTACATTCAGGACGGCTTTAAATGTACAATTTGGCTTTTGCAGGAATGGTGTGACTACCGGCTGAGGTGGGACCAGATGCCCAGGTCAGCTCTCTATGGAAATATAACGTCTCAACTCAGAATGCCATCACAAAGCTTATGGCTGCCAGACGTCATCCTGGAAAATAAGTGGGTTGCATGACATTCAGCTATTACTCAAGTCACGACAATAACTCCCAACACGGTGGTAGTCGTAAAGGTAAACTAGTTCTGCCCTGGTAAATTTATGTATCTATTTATTCATAATAAATGAATAAATAAATCTAAAAGGTTTCAAATCCATAGATAACAATAACAATATTGACAGTCGGGGTATAGGTTCCCAACTTTTCTGGTGTTGAGAAAGTGTCTAGTGTCTACTTGTTGCCATAGAAATGTAATCAAAATGCTTGATATAAAATGTGTACATTATGTAATGTATAATTAGTGGAATCGCTTTCTTGCATTAATTAAAAAGATCGATGCCATTCGGTGGAACATTCCAGGCAGGACGTTTAAAGGGGGCTGTGAAATGGGCAGAGCCGAGGGCTCCGAGAGGAAAATTCTTCATTCTAATAATCCAAATATCAAGAGTTTGAGTACACAACTAAGTCTAACTTTGTTCTTGAATATTCTACTGTTTGGGTGTGATTTCAATTCTTCTGACAGCCCATTCCAAATTGGGAATGGCTAAATACTATCCACATACTAATGTACAGTATATGTTAATGGTACTAAGCCAGGCCCCTTATCCCCCATTGTCTGACTGCAGTGTGGATGGACAATTTGAAGTGGCTCTTTACTGCAATGCCCTCGTCTCTCCTGATGGCTGTGTCTACTGGTTACCACCTGCCATTTACCGGAGTGCATGCACCATCACTGTCAACTACTTTCCTTTTGACTGGCAGAACTGTACCATGGTGTTCCGGTAAGAGGACCTACAATCAAAAACAGCAAACAAAACAAAAGTGTCGAGGCTGCCTCTTGTTCCCATGGTGCTGTTTATGGCCTGTCTGTATGTAAATGACTGCTTTCATTTCTTTTGTCTTTTGTGCCGCCCAGTTCTCAGACGTACAGTGCAAACGAGATAGAGTTAGTTCTGAAACAAGAAGACAACTACACTTTAGAGTGGGTGGATATCGATCCAGAGGCATTCACAGGTACGGCATGCAAAACACAAGGGAAAAATGTGGAGTTACTTCATAATAATATTTAAGTAAAAAAGTGCATTAAACACATTTGGGAGTAATACAGGAAAAACTACACATTGTGGCACCATGTTCCAAGCAGGCGCTTATCCAAGTACTAACCAAGCCCTGTCTTGCTTAGCTTCAGAGATAAAGATATCAAGAGCCGGAAGGTATGCCAGGTACAGTATATAAGAAGAAAACCATAACCACACTTTTAACAATAGGGAAAAACTTACATTTCTGTCTCAAAGCTGTTATGAATGATATGAGCTGTTTTGATTTTTCACTTATATGATGGTGTTGCAACTTTAGAAAATGGTGAGTGGGCGATCAAACACAGACCTGCAAAGAAGCTGATCAACCCCCAATACACTAAAGATGACCTGGAGTATCAGGAGGTGGTGTTTTTCCTCATCATTCAGAGAAAACCACTTTTCTACATCATCAACATCATCTCCCCTTGTGTGCTCTTCTCCTCCCTTGGGCTGCTGGTATACTATTTACCAGCTAAAGGTAATGACATGTATATAATTCATTGCCTATTTTTCAATTATCTGCAAACTCCTCCACTAGTGATCATGCTTACCTCCGTCTGTAATAGTTGGGAAGTCAGTTTAGGATTGCCCCACTGTTCAAAGACACCTTTGTGTTTAAGATCGGGTAGCTAACCTTATGAATCACTCTGCTTTAAGTAGCAATATGTAAGATTTTCATGTCAAGTCATCATTAAATGGTCCTAACCTGTCAAAAAGCATTAATAAACTATGTTCTTTTCCAATACTTCTTTAACTGATAACAGTAGTTCAGCCGAGATTTCAGAATTTCAAAATTGGATAAACAGCCCCTAAATCTTGTTATTGTTTTAATTTTGATGTCCCGCCCTCCACAGTTTAACCAATCAGAAAGCCTGTGATCCGGGTTGCCGCAATTCACCCCATCGAGTCTTGTTATGATTCTAAAATCATTCAAGACAAAAAAAGGAATAAAACAATAATTTCTATCAAGGCCTTTGTAAAAAAAAAAAAAAAAATTGTTGTAGACAAAACTCTGCTATTTTTCTCATATTCTGCTAATATGATCCCAGCTGGATTCATCGGCATATCTGGCAACCTGAGTCAGGGAGAATGGGAGAGTTTGCTGTACCACTTTTGGCCAGATTTTTACATACTGCTCCTTTAACATTAGTACGACCACTATAACTTGTTTTTACATGTTTGTATTTTTTTGGGGACTGTTATACCTTTAGATCTGTTTTTTCAGACATAAAAAGTGAACAATTGATGACCAGTCCATACTCACCACCCTGGCTTCCATCTACTGAAATCTGTGGCTGTAGTTTAGTTAACAATATGAATTTCATTGCAGCTGGGGGTCAAAAGTGTTTTATGTCCATTGCCACTCTCCTTGGCCAAACTGTCTTTGTTTTCCTGATTGCTAAAAAAGTACCAGAAACATCACAAGCTGTCCCTCTGATTGGAAAGTGAGTTTTATGGCAATACCTTTGTAGTGGTCTTTATGGCGTTTGATATGAAAATGTTTTTTCCTTTTTGATTGCAGATATCTGATGTTTGTGATGTCCGTGACAACTATGGTGGTGATGAACTGTGTGATAGTTCTTAATGTCTCCCAAAGAACCCCAAACACTCACAAAATGACAGACAAAGTGCGAAAGGTGAGACTGTGGCCAAAGCGAGCCATTTTGTAAGTGGCATTTTCCTCTAAGAGACTCCACCTTCAATATATACATTATGCATTAGATGTATTTCTGAATTGGTCATTTTGGACAGATCCTCCTCAACACATTGCCTCGTCTACTAAGGATGCAGATGCAACCTTGGACGCCAGAGCAAGACATTGTTTCAGAAGTCGGGAATGGTCACGCAGCCAGTAGAAATTATGTTTACGTGCCTCACTATAGACGACGCAGCTCAATGACTCTCATCATGAAAGCAGAGGAATACATGTTAAAAACCTCACGCTCCGAACTCATGTTTAAAAGACTCAGAGAGAGAAACGGGCTCATCAAGTCTGTACTGGACAAACTGCGTGAGTATTTTGCTGTTGAGCGCTGTTTTGATTTCAATGTAACAATTCTCCTGTTATGTTTTGTGTAGATAATGGTCTTGAAGGTGGGACGACTGAGCATCTCTGTGCCAGTTTAGCAAATGCCTCAGTTGACCTAAAGCAGTGTGTAGCATCCTGTAAGCACATAGCGGTGACGGCAAAACAAAAGAATGTCTTCCAGAATGTAAGTTGTAAAACAGCAATATCATCACAAATTCTGCATTCACGTGAAAATACATATTTCGGTTGGTATTTATCATAGGATATCAAGCATTGACCTACAACTCATTAATTATAGATGGTAGAATTGATCAAAAATAACTGTCTGACTTGATCACAAATAGGTAATAGTATAAACCAGTATATATAGACAGTATATTTTAAACAGTTGCAGCACTCAAGTCTTGAATGCAAAACTTATGAGCCTTCTTTTCGTAGGCTCATGATAATAACATGGTTAAAAGCGCATTTAGGTCTATTTACATATCACTTTTGTTACTGCAGGAAAATGAAGAGTGGTTCCTTGTGGCACGTGTGATTGACAGGGCCTGTTTCATAGTGATGGCGCTGGTGTATTGGATTGGCACAGTGGCCATATTCTTGACGGGACATTTCAATAAAGCACCATTGTCGCCTTTTCCTGGAGACCCAAAGACCTATCTTCCCCCAACAAACAACCTTACAGAGAGTGGCACAGCAACTGAATATTTGGGTTAAAAAAGGTTCACTCCAACAACAGAAGAATGGGACTATTCAATGAAAATAGTAATGCTGTATATAGCATAAAAACCTCTTGAATATTACTGTTATTTTTGATGAGAAAGCAGCGTTCACTTTCTATGTGTGCCACTTCTATTACTGCCTTTTAAAAGTTCACTGTTGTTTTGTGTCCATGGTAAATTTGTTAACAATTTGATAACAAAATAATTCTTGGATAAACTCATTTTCAAAACAGTCTGTTATTCTGGTATTTTTTTTCGTAGATTTGTATTGTACAGGTCTCGAAATAAACATCTTTATTATAAAACCATGAAATCTTTCTTTCAAAAACGGATTTTCACCTCTAGTGGAAAGCTATCCGCACTTCTTGAGCAGGATTACAATTACATGGCTGAATGGTGCCTTTCTATAGAGCCAACAAAAAGGCAGATCCGGCTGGTTGGGATGGAAACAGAGAAAGTTAGAATCCTCAGCCACAACCAACAAATACAACAACCCAAACACAACCAAGTGACTTCAACAGGATAAGCTACAGCTCATGTGCCATCTGGACAGGACCTACAAGTCACCATCATCATCATCATCATCGGAAGTATAAGTCTAAATCAAATGGCAAGCACTATGTCTGCCGTGACCAACCAACCTCGTCCCTTTGGTCACCTGGAGCGTGAGAAGCACATTGAAAGAATTTTGAGGACTTTTCAAAACAGGAATGGAACTTCATGCGAGTGCTTAGTGGAGTCTGCTAAACCACATAAAAAGAGGGCTTTTTCGGAATCAGAGGAGGAACTTTCAGAAAACAAAAACAAGCAGACACTGCCTTTGGTTGTGCAAGGAAAAGACTTGTCCATTTTTGATTTGGTTGAGCAGTTTCATATTAATGCCAGACCAGAACTGCAAGGTAAGCAAAGGTATCAAGTATATTCTTTCATTTTAGAACGAATAATCAAACTATAGTGTTGTAGGTCCTCAGTGTGTGCCCAGGAGGGTATATAGCATTTCCGCCAACAGCAACAAGTTGGACTTACTTGTGGCAATAGAAGGTAGGTATAAATTAATAAGCTATGTTCTTCTAAAATTAAAACTATTTTCCTGATTTTCGGTAGAGAGTTCATGCCTGTGTCTTCAGTGTTGTGGCCCGGCCAGAGCGTGCTCGCTGAAGGGTATTGATCATGAGGGTCGTCAAATCTTTTACTTTGAAAGACCCTTCAGAATGGATTCATGTTGTTTCGGCTGCTGCCTTATGGAGATGAGAGTCTACACTGGTCAAAAACAACTCATAGGAACAGTATGCCAACGGTAAGTTAGGGTAAATTAGGATACTAAATAAGATGAGCTAACAGGCAAACAAGTGACTTAGAAATCTGCATCCTACAATATAGAAAGAGGATGAAAAGAACTGAATATTTTGCACTAATGTTGTAGAATTCTATTTGAGTTGAAGGGCAGGTGGCAATACAACTGTATGTGAAGGACAAATATCCAAAGGTTTTCGCAGCTCATTCGATAAACAAACCCATCATATTGTTCTTGTTTGAAAGTCCTTTCTACTGGCCAACATCATGCATACGATTTTGAACAAAGAAGATATGGAACTTCATGTGGTTTGGCCCAGGAATGACAGAATTTACTATTAACTAAGAATAGAATATGCAATAATCTTTCAGCTGCCCTCCACCACAATATTAAAATATAGGCTCTTTGGAATGTTGCAATGTCACATGACCACAACCTATAGGAGGAAATACTCATGCTACACCTGGGTTACAGGCCCACGTGTTGATAATAAGATCACTGTTATTATCTGACATTATTTTGTGGCATGTAGCTCTTTACTCAGTCCTGGTTAAATGAAGGTCAAGAATAAAAAATAATAGTTCATGTCTCTGACCCCCCATTGCTATAGTAATTATCCAGACAGCCTTATCTGTAAATAGCGCAGAAGGGCTGTGGTCTAAACCTGGGAGAGTGAAAGCATTAAACAGCTGTGTAGCCAGAGCCAGACGGAATGCAGCATCTTTCCTTTGGGGAATGCTTAGGTTAACAGGGGTAATGGCAGGGCTGGCCTTCTACATAGTCAAACGCAAATTCTTCACCGATTGGCCTTCATCGGACTCCAGCCTCTTCAAGTTCTCATCGTCCCTTTGATTTACAGTTGACTGATTGTAACCAATTACAAGTGACCTGTCAGAGGTTTCAGGTTAGGGGGCTACTTGGTATAAATATTCCCTCAGTTGTCCTCAAATAAAGCATGACCCAAATTGAACTTCTCAAACACCAGGAGAACAATGATTTTGGTGCTGCAGAATCATGACAGCTGAAAATCTGGTCAACCGAGCATCTATGCTGACCTCTACTGTGGGGAAATTGCTGCCACGATATGAACGATCGTTAGGTGCGAGCAGACATTTGAAACATTTGTATCAATTTACTGAAATGAGGTTTTTCCACATGGCCGTTGACAGGTGGAGTATGTTGACCCCTCTATTGGAAGTGTGTGATGCAAGTGGAGTGGCTATGCTCAGACTCCAAGGCCCATGCTGTCCATGTCGTTGCTTATCCAACCAAGAGTTTCAGGTATGTGCTTCAATGACAATTGATGCATATAAAAAATAAAAAATAAATCACTTATTTTTCTTAACTAAGATTATGGCTAACACTGGAGACAAAATAGGAATGATATGGAAGAAGTGGCCTGGTTTTACTCATCAGCAAAACATGGACCATGATTATTTCGGATTAAATGGTAAGTGTTCCCCCATTCTCCTCTTTCAAGTTTGTCTTAACTAAAGACTGTCTGCATAGCTCTATCATATATGACCTCAATATTGCTGTAATTTTAGTTCCACAATATATGGAGGCGGAGACAAAACTTATGCTGTTGGGGGCAACATTTCTACTGGTATGTTTGTTTATTTCCTCTTATTTTGATTTAACAAAACATATGTAATTACCCATGAATACATTTTCTTTACAGAGTTATATGCACTTTGAAATGAGCTAAAATAAGCTGCCAGAGTCAAGATGGAGCAAGTGATCAAGTCAAATGATAAAATCCATTGCACAAAAAGATTGAAGTTGTAAATGAGGACCAGTAAATGGTTGATACTAAAACATCTAGAAGAAAGTGGTTATTTGACATTCATTGGTATAAATCTGTTTTTTTATTTAAGCTCTGATGCAAGTTGTGTCATCATCTGCTGGCTGCATCGTTTCTGCAGTATTTGATACATTAATCTCCAACATGAGTGAACAGATAATGTAATGAACTCTCCCAGTAATTTATACAAATATAAAAATTGCTTTTAGACCATGTATATACAACAGTTCAAGATTTCTTCATGTTTATAAAAGCATGGCAAAGACAAAACCGTTAAAGAGAAAACTGGTTTTGAGGATTCTTGGTATTATAAAATGCCTATTACACACAAGGCATTCTGCCCGTTCAGTCTTGCTTGGAAATTGACTTACGACAAAAAACACATTTTAAGTCAATTCTATAGTCTTTGAATGTACTGTATTCACAAATACAGTGGATAATACAAAGTATTAGCAACATCTCTTCAAAGAAATATGGTAAACTGATGTTATTGTAATAAAATAGCATGTAGCTGCAACCCTGTTTGCGTCCCAATAAAACAGATAAAGTTTAGACATGAAATATGATGTAAAACAATAAATGGCATGTAGATGAACAGGTTATGATGTATTTTGTCATGTGCACTTTGATTACACATACAGAGCAGCTCAGCTAACACAAGCAGCCAGCTCAGAGCCTCCCTCTGGTGGCAAGTTTACAGATGTAGAACTCGCTTTACCCAACAGACTGACTGCTTCAGTTGATCGACGAATTGTGTTTTCTCGCCGACTTGGTTCAGTTTCATCTGCTGAACGGTTTTTGGTTTTGATACAACAAAGACTCATCCTCTTCCAGTTCTAACCTTCTCAGTCTTTATGCAGTGCCCGTCCATGCAGAAATATTCTTCCCTGGGCTTGCAATCCCCCAGAACCTCACAAATCCTCTTGCCTACCTGTCACATAAACACAAGCAAGCATGAAATCAAAACTAGTACCATTTGATTTAGCAGTGATATGCAGGGTTTTAAAAGAACACAATGCTTACCACCGAGGCAACTTTCGAGGCAAGAGGTCACCGACCACTACTAACATTCACCAGCCCATGGAAGTCTTCCCATGCTCTGCCAAAACATTCATTGTGCAAATATATTACTGTGTCACCACAAGTTGCAGAAATAATCAGGCGGTAATCCTATTTAGGCATACTTTGTAAAGAAAGAGAAAATGGATAGAAAAAATAAAAAGGGGGTCGACATACATACTTAATGCTGTCTGTATGGGTCTTATACTCCATTATTGTGTTGGGAGGGAGGTTCAGCACCCTGCGTAGGGTATCTCGAATTCGGGCTGTAGTCGCTTGGTCACTAGCAGTTTTGTTCCAGATAGAAATTATGTCCTCCTGAGAAATAACAAACATACCTTTATTTGTCCCAAATAAACATGTACAGTCCCAACCAAATAAACAATAAATAAAATAAACATAAAGGAAGATGAAATGTGACATAGGGCCTGCAGCGTTACCTGGAAGCGAACGGAAACTACAGCACCACAGATTTCTTCTCCGACCATAAACTGTTCACCCAGCATTGCCAAAATGAGATTTTCCCAACATCGTGATGCCAGACCTTTCCTCAAACGGATGATCCATTTGCCGCCCATCTTGTTGGCATCATCCTAAATACATCCATGCCTTGTGAATAAAGTACTTGACACTTTGAGCACATACAGCACTACAGGACAAGAAAGTGTACCTCCCACATGGGTTTTATCCCTTCTTTGAAAAGGTGAAAGTCGCTGTGCCCAGTCAAGTCACCTGGCCGGATCATGTGACTGTAAAACCTCCAAAACTGTTCAACCTAAAAAAATGTTTTTGATAAACCAGACGAATAATATCGGAATGTGCTTTACTTTGAGTGCAAAACTGAAGCTGGTTTACCAACCGAGGCAAAGCTGCCAATCTGTTTGATATTCTGCTCATAGCTCTGTGTGCTTGCTGGTCTCCCTGGGGTGCGCCTAGAGTACCAGAAAGTGTAGTTATATTGCAGAGGGTGCTCTCCTGCTCCTGGAACCACCATCTACAAACACAAAATGCGTTAGCTTACAGTAATCGTCCACTTTTCATGTAAACCCGAGCAGTCACCTTTTTCCTGGAGCTTTGTTCCTTGTCTTCCTCTTCTGTCTTTTCCTTCTCACAGTCTTTCGGTGGTCCTTGGTCCTGTTCGTGATCTCCACTGTCATCGTCTTTCAATCTATAGGCGAGAAGAAATCACATTACAGATCTGATAAAGTTAACATCTAACAAATGCATTTCAACTACCGCATGCACTGTACTACACGTGCAGTGTTCACCAATGTAAATCATTCTACGTTCGTCTTGTGGAATGAGACAAATAAACGAAATGCAACATTAATGAATGAATAACAACCTGCAAGGTTACACAAATATAGATTGTCATCATAACTCAGAAGTGTGCATACGAAGTAAAGTTATCAGTGTACGCGGCTTTAAGCTAATATGAGGCTAGCTGAGAGCACCACGGGTCATGATACACCACCAGGCCGAGGCTTTGCGGCCTACCGCTCTCCCTGCTAGGCTAAAGCTAACAACACCGGCTCTCGGGACACACATCGACATGTAAAGTGCTATGAACTACTGTAGGATATACATAAATATTTGCTCTCACCTCTTTCCCATGATGAACTTGAGACTAAAACCCAAATTTGCAGATCCAATCTCTAAATGACACACCTCTCTAGCATGCAACTACAGCTGTTGGCAACATAAGTCTATCTGATGACTTGTTTTTTGCGACAGGAAGTCACAGGAAGCCCGCGCTTCAATAGTTATCACACAAATACAATCGATTACTCACGCGTCAAATTTGTTGTTCATAATTTTTTAGGTATAATAATATCGGAGTCCAAACACAGCCTCCTGGAATCCAAAGGAAGGGGAGCGCGCATGACGTGTACGCGCACGCACTCTGCTCAATGTTGGGAGTAAACTGTCATGAGGTAATTTTGTTTCAATACTATTCATAAACGCTCATGATCAGAGATAATTAATCAGACACAAAGTAGTCCAGTGTAAATAATTTATTATTCAGTCCAACATGACCATAAATAACAATCTGCAGGGGTGTATTATTAAATACAGCCTTATTTCAAATTCAGGCATTTTAGGACACATATTAAAACCTACTGATAGGCATCAAAACAGTATACAATTCTAATGAGAAGAGATGGACAGACTATCCATTTTGGCATGGTATGGCACGTTATGGTGTGGTGTCTTTTTGTTGGCTTTCCTGTTTGAGACCATCAGTCGCCCCATGCCCCCAGTGCCTCTCATAAGAAAGGACTTTGTTCTTGGCCAGAAAGCGCACCAGTGAGTGAATGGGCAAGAGCAGCAGCGGGCCCATCAATGGCGGCTGTTTGTTTACACCAGCCAGTCCCATCATAGCTCATTAGCAGCCCAGCCCACCCTCTGATGTCCTAATGACTGATAAGTGTGTGACTGCCCACCAGTCCTGAGCCTCAGCAGCTCAGAATAAAGGAGAGGCTACGAGTACAGACACACATTCTCACTAATTCTGCTGGCATTCCTAAACTTTCATGGTACACATGCATACATAGACATGCACACAACCCCGACAAACATGGATAGAAGATGTCGTTCTTTCATCATGTGCCAGGGGCCAGAGTGAGGTTAGCCGACATCAGTGGAGCAGCCGTCACTACTAGTTCTGCATCAAAGATGTACAAGAAATCTGCCACAAAAGACACATGAAATAAATAATTATTTAGTGCTGAAATCTCAATACTTAAAAGTTGGGGAATTATCAAATTGTTTTCAAAGCAAACAATACTTAAACAGGTAATTGTGGGAATACATGGATCCTGGTGATATTTCTAATAACTATCTGATGGATATAATTATTGTCTATCAATAGGACCAAATGTAGATTTGGGACAATTTCCAATAACCCTATAGGTATTGGTAAATCCTTCAAAACTCCTGGATTACAACCATTACAATAATTGACAACAAACCTCTTTAATGGGCTTTCCAAGCTTTTCTTGACATTTCACAATTTTCCTGAAATAGACATGTACTTTTATTTATGAACCGTAAAATGAATGTGACCACAAAAGGTGTCCCACATACCTGTGTACCCTGCTAGATATGCAAAGGCTGAAGTTGGCAGGACAGTCCGGCTCGTACGTAGATGGCACAATGGTGTAAACTCCGGGATGTAGATGGCACATTAGAAACACCACCTGATTGTAGCAGTGGGGAACGCAGCTGGCAACAGGTTCATCATCCACAGGAAGCCTAGACTCAGACATCCCATCCTGGGCCTAAGAAGATTTAATATCGGTAAGTATATCACCAAACATCATATGACCAGATGACTGGCAACACTACCAGACTCGCCTTGTAAATGTGAAAGCCGATTGGATATAAATCTTTTTCAGAGGTAGTTTGCCGCAAAGTGATCTTGATGTTGACTCCCGTTGACTCCATGATGTCACCACACACACTAAACAGGAAGCATGGATTGCTGGAATAGGAAAGGAAATTCCTGCTTCCTCCTGCAGTTCTTCCCTTTATCCAAGACCCTTGAAAGTAATTATTGTCCCACTCTCCACCGATTGTTAATGGCAGTGGCAGTGCTGGGCTTTCTAGTGTGCTGTGGAGTAACAAAAAAGGTCCTTAATATGAAATTATAATAAACAAGTTATAAGTTGCTATATTACCTGAGAGAAGTGGATGAAGAAGAGAAGACCCGAATGAGGAATTGGGCCTCAGCTTCTAGTTGGTAAGTGCTGGGAATCATAAGGTAATATCCAGTCTGTAGCTCCTGATGGAGGACCACTTCTCTATCATACGCATGGCAGTGAGTAGAGGCAAATGGGGCTTTATTTAACACTCGATTCAAATTAAAACGCTTCTTCTCCAACTATCAAACAAAGGAAAAATAATTATTATCCATTAACAGGTCATTCTGAAAACAAGTAACCATACAAACCTTCCAAATGTGCAGAGCAATTGCGTGGTAATGCTGGTGTTCACAAATGCTGAGATCTTCAAATATATTTTGTACCGATTTGACAATCCTCTTATTATCTTTATGCTGCAAGAGTGACACCAACACCTCTCCACTTTCTCGAACTTTCAGGCAATACTTTGGATTGGTGCTGTACCTATTGCTGTTTCTACTACCACCAGCAGAGGATCCCTTTTTCCACTCACCTGTCAGCTGGTGTTGGTGTGTCAATGTGTGACCTGCAAACAAATATTACTATTTCAACAACAAAAAAAGTTACTACTAAATAAATCCCATTGAAACAAATACCTGAGTAGATGCTTTTGAGGTGTCCAGTCTGATTAACTTGATAGCCTACAGTAACATCATCAAACATTGAAACAAACTCTTCCTCATCCAACCAGAATTCCCCTTGTGATATCCTGCTTTTCAAACCCATAGCACAGAGAGGATCAAGAGTACTCCAACCATGACCACTGCAGCACAAGACATAAAATGAGTTCCTAAACATCAAATTAGACATAAGCAAACCAAAACCCAGCAGACTAACCCTTCTATCCAGGACCCATCCCAACAGCACCTGCCCCAGGGGTTTCTGATCCGGAGAAGATTGACCTTTTGTTCTGACGTGGTGCTCACTTCCACACACTCCAAGACGTTTAGGGCATGATACTGGCTCAGCTCACTGGCCTCTTCTACCACAAAGGTTAAGCAAAGGGTAAATAATGAACAAATTAACTAAATTAATATATCACAATGCAAAAAAATATAAAATATAAGGAATTAAATGCTTGAATTAAGTGTTTTTTTATCTTAATTTGAGTACAGTCTTTAGTTTAGTTTGCCGTTGCAAATGAAACAAGATATTTTTGAGTGTTCCATTAGAAAATCTTGTCAAAATGTACTCAAATTAAGATAAAAAAAAAACTTGATTCAAGCATTTTTTACCTTATATCATTTTTTTGCAGTGGCAATGTTGCCAAACCTGCTGGCCTGCTGTTAGTGGAGCAGGCAAGTAGACAGTTATCCTTCACTAACTTCACAAGGGCACGACCTGATTTTCTTCTGACCAAATCTGTTTTTTGTTCTTTACTATGGTCTTCATCATTTCCAAGGCTTCTCAAACTCCAGTGTTCTGCCAGTCCACCAGTAAGGTCCACCAAAGCTTCAGAAACTTGTCCTGCCCAAAGTCTTTCATATGAACCATGAAGCCTGAAAAGGAGAAAGGCCTATTTGTAGCTTGTTGCCACCGAACCAGCAAATGTAATAATATACAACCTCTCACTTGGCATAGGCTTTCTCCAACAATGCTACCCAAAATGCAGAGGGGGAAAGGCACCGTGAAAAGCATGGTTTAAAATTAATACACGGCAAGAAGTCATCAATTATAACATCTGTCCAGTGACCATACTGCCAAAAACAAAAATGAAATAATCCTTTATATTCGTGGTCACCCCATAAAGGCTGGCCAAGAGGGATCACCTGCACAGCAAAAGTAAAATTATTATAAAAAGTGTCATTATCTACTGTAATGGCCAACATTACCTTGTTCAGTAGATGTTTGTTTTGTAGTAGAATTGTGCAGGCACAAAGGAGCCAGCAGTCTCCCAATAATCCCTGCTTTGCGTGACCCAAGCTGATGTCTTCAGGAAATAATTCTGGTGACTGGCAGATCTCCTGAGATAGAAAATGTGTAGAGCTGGATTTAAACTCGAACACTGGATTGAAAAACAGCTTTAATCCACAAGTTGTCAAAGAAATTACCTCTAGCATTTAATTGTATTCATATGTCAGTGTTTTTAGTTATACTTTGTCTCTTGACCAAGAAGATACTCAACTGTTTTTATTTATACAGTGCAATGACACATTTTAAACTTATCTACTGTTCGACTGAATGGTCTCATATTAATTTACAGCCCTCTACAAACAAGGTGAATAAAACATGATAAACCAAATTGTGCTTGAAATATGAACAAAGAGGGACTGTGAAGAACATCCTGCATCAGGATGTGGAGTCAGCGTTTCTACTTTGACACATTTAAATCATTGACATCTTTCAAGTACATCAACAACTTTATCTGCTCACTATTTTATCAATGTCTATTTATGTTTCTACTTTTTTTTAAACTTGTTTTACGATTTTAAATGTTACGTTCTTTTTTGTAAAGCACTTTGTAAGTTACGTTGTGCATGAACTGTTCAATACCAATAAAAGGTGCTTTGCATAAGTAGTAGTAATAATAATACTAACAATAAAAATAGTTGAGCTGATGTAGACACTGAAGTCACTATTCATTCACTCTGTGTTAAGTTGTGATGGAAGCAGGGAAGTTAGTCTGTGCCATCGGCCCCTCCATTACTTACTCACTCGCCACATTCACAAAGTGGTGTGTTTTGTGTGATTGGGGATCATGACTGTAGTTTGTGACTATGTAAATTGTACCAAATATAAGGATTGCATTGCTTGTGCTGCAAAGTCATAATGGACCATATTTGTTGATGATCCTTGGCCTACATGCTGACCTGGGGGCGCAGCCAGGTGATGCTGTCCTTCAGTTTGCAGATGGGAGTGGAGCTGTCAGACAAGAGGGCTGAGTCATCTGCAGGGAACTCAGAGTCCACAAACAGATCCTCCTCATCATCCTCCACTTTCCCCCCTCGCTCCATGGTCTCTGTAGAGCCCTTTATTCAGAGAGCACCACCATGTCGACCACGTTACACTAGAAAGTAAGAGCAGTATCAACATAGCATCGTTTTCATATAATATATTCTTAGGTTCTCTCTCCAACACAATTTAGCCACAGCACTCACTTTGCATTGGTGGTTATGCTAGCAAACATGTATTCTTATTGTGAAAATATAATCTTTCACAAATAAGCGGAATTGCGACATTGATTGTGTTTAGGAACAAATGGTTTGGCAAATTGTTGGGCTTGGACAGAGAGGTATGCTAAATGATTCTTGAACTGTTTAGGGATAACCTACCTCCCTCGCAGTCTGTATGCTCCATCACAACATTAGCAAAGCGGGTTAGCTCTGTTTACCCGAACTGCAACTAAAGACCCCCTCATTATAATATAGTTTTAAAGACACACTGTCACACGAATATAGAGAAAACAGATGTTTAAATAAATAAGTATTTCGGGCATCACAAATCTGCAGCTACAGTAAATGTCTTCCGCCTGTCTTTTTCATCTCTGTGTGAATCCTTCCTCTTGAACAGTAGCTCCACCTAGTGCTCATAGACGCTATGACACCATAGACCATGCAGAGGTGTCAAACTTATTTGGGTTGAGACAGGGCCGAATAAAAAAAAAGAAAGGGCTAGTCAGGGGGCGAAAAAATAAGTGGGTTTCATTTATAAAACATTTTTGGAATATGAAGTAATCTTTATTTATATATACCGCCTTTTCACTGCAGATCTGAGTCTCAAAGCGGTTTACAATTGTTAAGAGATGGGAGTGGGGTCGCCAGAACAGGAGGCGCATGCCAGAACTATTGGACATATTTTTAGTGGTAGGGGAAACCGGAGTACCCGGAGGAAACCTACGCAGACACGGGGAGAACATGCAAACTCCACTCAGAAAGGCCCTGAACCGACCGGGATTCAAACCCAGGACCTTCTTGCTGAGAGGCGAGAGTGCTATCCACTCAGCCACCGTGCCGCCCGCCCGAAGGTATCTATATAAATGACTTGTTTCACATTAGTTGGATTGGACATTCTTTTCTGATTAGAATTAGTTCAGTTACTGTGGACTGAACCAAAACTGGACCAAATATTGAGGGTACATAGGAAGATTTTCCACTTCCGGATGGATCACCAAGACTATTGCTCCTCCCAATTGTCAACCATTCTGGTGATTTGTGCTCATCTAATAAGACCAGAGAGTTTTGTTCAAAAAGTGGAGAGGGCGGTTCTTTCCTAAAAAAATCGGGAAATCCTCCTTCTTTAAGAAGTAATGTAATTGAAGACTGGTAAAAAACATAACATAATAATACTTCTAATTGCATGTTAGCTTAACATTTCTTATGGAAATAAATGTTATGGTTGTTTTCTTGAGAAAATTACTAATGGATATCATATTTGTCGCCAACCACCATCAATGCTGCTATTTAATATAATCATTTAAAATCCTCTCAGGGGCCACTGGAAATTATCCTGCGGGCCGGATCTGGCCCCCGGGCCTTGACTTTGACACCTGTGATGTAGAGAGACTATCATATTGCCAAAGTTGGTTTGAAGCTCTTTTTTGCATCTTGCATTAATTTATGTTTTTTTCTAAATGAGTAATGTATTTTTACTAAAGGATTAGTATTTATTAGAGAAAACTACTAAAATCAATGACAGAAATACATAAATGTATGTATGTAGCAATTCTGCTAGTTGTCCATCCATCCATTTTCTTCCCCTTAATCCATTTCTGGGTCGGGGGGGTGGCAGTCAGAGATGCACCCAGTACACATAGCACCAGCCCCTCACTGATCCTCCTGCAGGTGGTGAGTCCACAGGAGCTGAGATCTTTCAGTGGGAGCTTCAGGCAAAGTGGGGTTAAGTATCTTGCCCAAGGACACAACGACAGCAGTCATCAGTGGGAGTCGTGAAGTAGGTCTTATGGTGGGCTTGAACCCACAACCTTCAGGCCCAAAGGCCAATGCTCTACCAACTGAGCTACTGTCGCCCTTCTGTTGTTTGACGCCTAAATCGGATGCTAGATATTCTTATACAGTTTTTATTTGTTGATTGACTCAAAACCAAACCAAAGGCATAACAATAAAACAGGTACAATAAATCTATTTCTAATTAAGTTTTGTGTTTACATTTTAGAATAAAAGAGATTGTGTGGTTGTTGTCCTGAGAAAATCTTTAAAGTGAGGTAAAACATGCCATGGTACGTCCTACCATCAATGCTACAAGTTAATCAGAATAATTACATATTATTTATATACCACAAAAAAGTCTTGTAATTGTCACTTGTACCATAGACGGTCTAGTTTAATCGATGTCTATAACACATGACTGCATTTTTTATATAGCTAGATGTTTCTTTTTTTAATAATTTCAATTTATTTGTTAATTGGTATATACTACTAATATATTTGGTTTTAAAAAGGCAACAAACAATCACAATTAAAAAGCAATTATAACTAACTGCATTTTTAATAACAAACAATATTTTTGACTACACTGTAAAGAATTTCCTTGTAGAAAAACGGTAAAAAGCTGGCAAATATGGTTCCAGGGATTTACCATTTTCTCAACATGGCATTACCGTTGCTAATTTTAACGGTTACAGACTGTTTCACTGAATCACATTATGGATTTAACTGTATGTTCCTGTTAATTCACATACAACAATAACAGCATTATAATGTTCATTTTGTATTATTACACCATACGACTGTTTCTGTTTCTAATTAGTTTCATTTAACAAAAAACTACACAGTTTACATTTGTTTTCCTTTAATAAGATAAGATAAGATAAGACTTTTCAATTATTTTCTAATATCTTCAGTTTATGCAAGAAAATAGTTGAAATTTGTACTGTTTTAACATGCTTAACACAAAACACCCATTTTAACAAAAGCAGGAGTTTAGACCTCTTACCCATGCCTCTTACACTCATGGTTCCTTGGTAACAAAAATTCCCCAGCATTCCAAAAATACAACAAGTTCATGTTAAATTATGGTAATCGCATTGTGATTTTATGGCATTGTCACATTTTTTTGTTATCACATTATAATTGTGGTAATAAAGTGCCACTGGATGTTTTTTAACCAATTTATACTTCATTTTGCATGTTTGAATTGTTTTTCAAAATAACATTTGTTTAATGTTGAAATTTCATTGTAATTTTACAGAAATTTGTATTTTTCTTTATTTTCGTCATCACATGCAGTAATAGTCTCCCAAGGTCAGTAAACAATGTCCTCAGCCTTGTTGGGTAAGCACTTTGTTTAGATTTCTTCCTTTGGTTTTAATTGGATCAAATCTTGCAACGTATTATCTGAAAATAATTGCATTAGAATGTTTTTAAAAAAAGAGTATTATATTAAACACAAATGTATACATACAGAATCACCACCATCACAGACACACACAAAGACAGGTTTATCTTTTCAATGCTGGGAGTAAAATATTCTCCTTCACAAAGACTTAAGAACTTCCATCTTTAGGGCCTACTTAAAGTATAATATACATTTTAAAAAATCCCCTTGTTTGTGGAATATGTGCTGGGGATCAGAAATGTGGGTAATTCTTGACCACAACTTCATTCAACAACCTTTGTCATGACTGCAAATAAATACCAGAATGTGGCGTAATACTGGGATGTGGTGACTGGTGGAAAGTTTTATTGAGCAGATTGAGAAAGGTCTCAGTGATCTACTGACCTCTATATGTGCACTTGTTCCACCTCATTGAGGTTTCTTGTCCTAGAAATGCGCCCCCCCCCAAACCTCAGCCCAACAGAGCCCCCACTGCCGTACTGACTCTCTATTTTGTCATAATACGAACCTATACATTTTATAGTATCTTATAGTATCACCACGGTAATGATAAGATTAACAATGCAAAATTATAAGTATGTTAAAATGAATCAAGTATGTAGTGAGTAAGTAATCCTTATTTACAGTTTATCATGCATTTTACAGACCAAGGTCACTCAAAGCACTTTATATAACAACACAAGATGAGAATGATCATGTTTGGTCCATCCTCAGTGTTGGGAAAATAGAATGATGAGTGTTTTAGGAACACTCTTTCCAGTTAAAACAAGTTATTGACACAGTCATTCAGCACTTGTGGCAGAGGGGATATGAGGGGGCTTCTGATGCAGCAGATATGGAAACTTTCTCTCCGTCTGAACATGTGCAGCTTATAAATGAGCATCCCACTCTTGCACTTTGTCGACAACATGGTCTCAGCAATGCCCCAGGTTGCTCTGCTCCTGCTGCTTCTTGTTCTCAACACATCTGGAGGTAAACATTCTGACAATGTTTTCAACTTGTTGATATTTTTTTTTGTATGTTTAAGTAATCCTTAAATATATATTCCTCCCACAGCAAATATTTCATGTTGCAAAAGGTACTCCACAAAGAGAATACCCTTTTCTGTGATCAGAGGTTTGTTCATACAAACTGACCTGGAAATCTGTGACATCAATGCTATTATGTGAGTATTCATATTCAAAGAGGTTTTATTCATATATTTGCTAACACACACTGTGTTTTTTATATAGATTCGTGACAAAAAGAGGCAAAGGATGTTTTGATCCAGCTTCACCCTGGGTTATGGATTATGTGAACCGTTTAAGGTAATGCATTATGAGTTGTTCAGATAAATAATGTATGAACTCAAATAAAATAAAAAATAATTATATTTACAGGAATAAAGCACAGATGGTTCACATGAAAACTTCTCATCCGTGAGATGTTTGTCTCTGAAAAAGTGCATTTGGAGTGTTTTACTATATTTTTCTATTCTTAATTTACTATGCATGAATCTTTGTCATAATACATGTATACATATTTTATAATGTATACCAAGTTTTATTTCTGAACGATTCTGTAATATTTTGCCTCGTTGAATGTCCCTGTAACAATAAACATGTTTATTTGAAAATAGAGTGCCTCGGACCTTCTGCTCTTTGTTATCCATAGTTTGTAT